TAGTCTTTTGTCTGGTGAAAAAATTTCCCTGGAACCTAACCCCATCATTTACATTCATTCTTATGGGGAAATTGGATTCGCTTAATATCGTTTTGCTTAAAGTTCCATTTTTCAGGAACATAACTACAACGTTAAGTGAGGAGTTCCTGTACATGAAAATAAGCATCCTGTAGGTCGAGGGCTGTGAACCAGTCCCCTTGATCCAGTGCAGGTATTATTGTGCCCAGTGTGACCATCTTGAATCTTTATATCCTCACGAATTTGTTCAGTCGGCATAGGTCTAGTATAGGCCTCCACCCCCCGGTCTTTTTCTGGGTCAGAAAGTAATGGGAATAGAAACCTTTCCCTCAATCTTGTGTTGGCACAGGTTCCACTGCACCCAGTTGTAGAAGGTGAGCCACTTCTGCGCGAAGTAAGTGCTCCTGAGAAGGGTCCCTGAAGAGGGATGGGGAAGGGTAGGAGGGTAGGATATAAAAGGGATGGAGTAACCGGACTGAACTATTTCGAGGACCCAACGGTCCTGCGTAATCTGCTGCCAGGCATGTTGGAAACCCTGGAAGCGGTGGCCAAATGGGCAAGTAGGTGGTGGAATCAAGGGGTGGTCGTGCAGACCCTCAACCAACGCTTCAAAATTGTTGTTTATTTCCCGATGGGTGGGAGGTAGTTGCTTGTGCTTGATTTTGTCTGCACTTAGGAGTTCTGGCGCGATTCCTGGTTATATCATATGGTCTGGGTTGAGGCCGGTAATACTGTTGTGTGTATGGTCTTTGATAAGGTTGGTATCGTTGTCTCCTGGGAAGGGATGGGTGAATGCCCAGGATACGCAGTGTCGCTCTAGAATCTTTCATGGTGTGAAGGACTTCATCGGTTTTTGTGGAAAAGAGCTTATCTTGATCAAAGGAGAGGTCCTCCACTTTGGTCTGCCGGTCTTTAGGGATGCCGGATGCAGAGAGCCATGAAGATCTGCACATAACCACAGCAGTTGCAGTAGTATGGGCTGCTGTGTCTAGAGATGCTTGTAGGGCCATTCTTGAAATCAGTTGGCCCTCAATAAGGACTGACTTGAAGTCTGCTCTCCTATCCTCTGGAACATGGGAGGCAAATTCAAAAACTTTATTGTAATTATCGAAGTTGTAGCTTTCAAGGAGGGCAGAATAGTTCGCAATTCTGAACTGTAGAGTGGAGGACGTATAAACCTTGAGACCCAAGACATCAAGGCATTTAAGGTCCTTGTCTTGCGGGGTGGGTCGATAGTGTGGCTGTTTCGTCCTTTGTGCAACTGCATCCATAACAAGAGAGTTCGGTTGTGGATGAGAAAATAAAAGGTCAGCATCCTTAGTAGGAACATAGTATTTATGTTCAGCCTTTTTGGAAGTTGGAAAGAGAGAGGCTGGAGTCTGCCAGAGAGTGTCAGCTGGTTCCAGGAGTGCATCATTTATGGGGAGCACAATCCTTGAGGGCGCAGACGGTTGGAGGATTTTGAGGAGTCTGTGTTGTGTCTCCTGAACCTCTTCTAAGGGGATGTCTTGGCTGAGTGTCACCCTCTTGAAAAGTTCTTGAAATTGTTTACAATCGTCCACGTTCTGTGGAGGCGGAGGGAAGAGGGCTCTGTCTGGAGCTGATGGAGAGTTAGGGGTCGGTGAGTCAGGATATGGTCCATAGCTCATGTTCTTGGGGGGGAGGGGGGGAAATTCAGGTGCTCTAGAAGTAGACGGAGCTGGAGATCAAGGTGCAGAAGGAGGTAGAGGTTTGGTGGAAGGGGCTTGAGGGTGAGTGGCAGCAGGATGGGGCCAAGGGTACCACTGAGGCCAACGCATAGGGTAGGAGAACTCAGGTGCCGCCCATGGGGGGGGGGGGGGGGGAAGTAGGGAAACTGAGGCTGGTGGTTGTGAGCTGTGACCTGAGGTGGAAAAGGTTCCAGTGGAGGAGCAGAGGCAGGTGGGGAGAACTCCGCCTGCTGATGCATATCAGGTTCGCTGTCAGTAAAGGTAGCCAGGTCAGGTGGGGAGAGCGGCTGTTCAAAAAGCGAGCCCTGTGTATCCAGGAGTGGGGAATTAGGCTCAGGTGCCACTGAGAGGTCACATTAACTGAGAAACTGTTGCTCCTGCTCCCTGGACTGTACTGAGCATGATCTGTGCTCAGGCGAATTACCGAGTCTGAGTTTTTCCGGTGCCGCGGGTCGCTTGGAGGTGCCCTGCAGGGGGTCCGCTGCCTGTACTGGAGCAGCAGGCAGGCTCGGTGCTGATGTTCGTTTCGGCACCGGAGCAGAGCGTGCTGTCAGCACTGCGTCTGTTTTCGGTGCTGAGTGGACTGGTGCCAAGGAGACCTTCCCGGTACGGGAGATCGGGTCCCTGCCTCTGCGCTCCGTGGGAGCTGCGGCTCAGGCGTTGTGACAGCCTGAGGCGTCTGCCTTCTGTGCTGTCAATACAGAGGGTAAGGATCTTGCGGGAGACCCTTTACCCTTGTTAAAGTCTCTCCTCGGAAACTGTTGCACTTCTTGCCTCTGCTCCTGAGAGGGTGAAGCCATGCTCCCAATTGGTTCAGATCTGGCTGGGGAGCGTGAGGGAGAGGGTTTTCACTGTCTCCAAAGGCCTTGCATTTCTTTGTTGCACTGTTTGCATTTTGCACGCATGCCTATCTTACCCACAGGTAGAGGAACTTCATTAAAATATTCCCAAACTGGGTCTCTTTTACAACCTGCTGCCATTATAGGTTTTCCCTTCTAGTGAGAGAATGGTATGGTATAGGGTTACCATATTTCAACAATCAAAAAAGAGGACATGGGGTGCCGCCCTAGCCCCGCCCCAGCCCTGCCCCCTCCCACTTCCCGCCCCCCTCAGAATCCCCCTACTCCCTACCTGCCCCCCCCACCCTAACTGCCCCCAGGACCCCACCCCCTATCTAAGTCTCCCTGCTCCCTGTCCCCTGACTGCCCCAACCGCTCTCTACACCCACTTCTCCCGACAGCCCCCCCAGAACCCCCAACCAATCTAACCCCCCCGTTCCCTGTCCCTTGCCTGCCCCAACCGCTCTCGACAGCCCCCCCCAGAACCCCCGACCAATCTAACCTCCCCCCCCCGTTCCCTGTCCCTTGCCTGCCTCCCCCACCAGGCCGAGGGAGAGCTGCAGGCTCCACGTGGAACCAAACACTGCCGCGCTGCTCTGCGGGGGAGGAGGGAGCGGGAGGGACTCTGGCTGCTAGAGGCCCCAGTGGCTGCAAGCGGCTTTCAATCAGGCCCAGCCGTCCAATCAGCCGCGCCGCACTCTGCATGAGGGGAAGGGGGAAATCCCGGACATTTCTACTTTATTAGAAATCCCCCCCGGATGGCCATTTAAAGCTGAAAAAGCCAGACATGTCCGGGTAAACCCGGATGGATGGTAACCCTAGTATGGTAGATCTCAAATCAATGAAGGCTACACTCAGAAAGACCTCAAGACTTCTGGAATACGTTGCTCAAACAGTTTCACTTTTGTTTCTACTGCCTGTCCCTCCCGTCTCATTTATCTCCAGACTTCTCCTTGTCCAGATCTATTCTGCCCCCAACAATCTTCTATTCATTAACTTTTTGAGACTTTGCACTTTTATAGAGAGGTAAGAGATTGACTCTGTGTACACAAATTTGCAGAGGGACAATAGGGTTGAGGTCTGTTATTTCTCACCTCTATATATTATTTATTTATTTACTTAAAAACATTTTTGCTGTTAACAAGCATGTTATCTCTGGAGACAAATCCACAGTCTGAGAATTGCAAAACTAAGCATCTCTGATGGTATCTTCTAGACTGAGCACTGAGTCCCATTGGGTAGATAGAAATATTAACCTAAATAATCTGTACAGAAGCCCCTGGAACCCCATAAGATTGGGTCCCTAATCCATGAACTACTGGAACTCATTTACAAAACTTTTATTAAACATTATGTTAATATATTGTCTCATACTATAGAATTAGAATTTGTAATCCCTATTCCTTGATGAGATATCTTTGAGCTATAATGTATCTATCTTTAGATAGGTTTTTTTGCTCAAAAAGCAGTTTATAAAAAAAATCCGATTTAAATAAAAAAAATAGCTTTTTTATTTTTATTTTTTTTAAATCATTGATTTTTATACACCCTACCATGCAGCCTTCAGCCATATCACTCTACTGGGTCCTACCACAGGAGACATGCCTGGTATTGATAGCCTGTGCCCCAATACTAGAATTAAAAACCTGCCACTATGCAGAGACTGCTCCTGTTGTAGTTCTGACCACCACCACACACAGGTACATTCTCATTAGATGGCGTTAAAACACTAGGTACTCCCAACGGACAAAACGACACTGCACAGAGTGGGGTGCCTAGAGAAAAACTCATTCTCTCACCTGCTGATTCCCAATTGGACAGAAGATGGGATGCTATCGTTGTGCATTACATCCCATTGTCAGAATGGCCATCAGCAACATGGAGACAAGCCAGCTCAGATTGTAACATGCATTCTGTTTAACCCTTACTTATTGAGTTGCATCTGGGTTTTTTTGTACTTGTTTAGTTTTCTATTGTTACAGACATTAGATCTGCCAGTGTTTGTGGTCTGACACTCAGCAGAGTACTGATTTAAGAAAGGCATTTGATCAAGTTTCACCGAATATTCCCAGAGAAATATGAAAAATGCACACTAGATACAGTAGGAAAGAGGAGCAAGAGATGAATCTGTATACACTGTACACTAGCTATCAGCAAAACTCCCACGCTCAGAATCACAGGGAAGAACATGCAGCACGCACCAAATCAGAAGATCAGTAAGTGATCAGAGCTTTACAAACTGACCCTCAGATAAAGATGAGTGCTGAATGGCACAGACCAATATCTCACTGCAGTTTGAAAAATTAAAATATGTAGATGGAAACAATCCTTCCCAATGTCTTATGAAAGGTGCAGGGAGAAACAAAAAAGGGGATGGATGGATGAAAATGTGACATTAGGTAGCACAAGCATAGGTCATGTCTAGTCTTCCTACCTCCATCGGACTAATGAAGTCATTCATTCCACTGTTGTACACATAGATCATGGCATCATACAGATGATTTTCCCAGCACAGGAGAACTACCTGCATGGAAACAAAGCAGATTTCCTCAGATGTAGAGAATCCTTGTACAGAACAGCCTAACAACTTCCATTAGCCCATTAATTTCCTTTCCTTTCCTGTATTCACTCAAAGACAGCTCTGACCATAGCACTTATCCTAGCCAGCTCCAGGAAAACAGCAGCATGGGTGGGTTATTTTTTTTTTGGGGGGGGGGGGGGGTTGTTGAGGGGGCGAGGGCGGTGTGCAAAGTTACACAAGTGAGAATTTGCCATATGCAGAACTCTGCCAAGCTACCAGGGTGGGGGAGACAGATCTGACTTAGGACTCTACACTGTACACCTGAAATCCATGGCCTGTCTGAGGTACCGGAATGAGAAATCCAGGTCTTCCCAATTCCTTACACCCTTGACCTCTGGAGCAAGGGACCCAAGAGAACAGCTCTCCAAATGTCATGGCTTTTGTTGAGTTAGTAAGTTGTTCTGTCACCATGCCATCAGCCAGCCTACAGGTTAAATATATTATTTCAAAAAAGTTAAGGGGCCACAGTTCATACCCTGAGGATTCTCTACCCTGGTACACTCCCTTTGCACTAACTCAGGTGTCAAAAAGGGAGCCCCTTGCTTGGAACACCCAGCAGCCGTGAGTCAGTATCTTTTACTCCAATATCCTGGTGCAGGGGCCATATCAGGAGTGGATGCAGCTAAAGAATGCTGCACTCTGGCTAGTCCCAGCTGCTTTACCGCATGCTCTAACTTGGAACGGTTTGGCAAGGTCCAGGTTGCTCTAACTTGTGCCAGGGCAGAGAATGATGGGGCAGTGATTGGTGGCTGCTTCTCAGCTTTTCCCCTCTGCTGGGTTGCCCTGGGGGCTGAGAAGATGAAAGGAACCATCCTTTGCTATGTGCTCCCCTAGGCCAAGACCAAGCCTGCTGAGCTCCTTCATTGCTCCCCCTGGGGCTTCCACAGCCTAGCAGGGAAGCAGACAATGCAGCAACCAGAGCTACCCTTCTCCCTGCCAAGCTGATGAGCAAATGCAGAGAAGACAGTAGCCATTAGTGCTTCCAGCTCACAACACAGCTGCCCCTGGGGCTAGAGGGGAGGCACGTGGGTGACCATGGGCCCTACCACCTCCTTGTAGTGATGGCCCACTTCAAATGCATTGGCTGAAAACAAAAATAGAGGCTACAGTGCATTGAGAATATTTTCTTCTTAACTCAGTCACCCTTGAAGGCAACTATGTGGTCCCCCAGGCCACAAATTGGGCACAATGCCCTAAACAATACACATATTAAAATATTTTATTAAATTAGTGTGTTTAAAAGAATGTGGAGTGTAGTTTCTCTAAAATGCTGTTCTCTGGGTTAAAGTCTTCAGTTACTGACTGAAGACAATGGGGTTGTTTAAGTATAGTAAGGTCTGAGTTTGGCCTGCATAGCTTTTATTACTGGTGACGTTGGGGAAGGAGGAAAGAACACAGCTTAACTTCCCAAATCCAGGTGGAGTTTGCTGGGCCAGCAGTTACAAAAAGAGAGAAGTTTACAAGGAGTATCCTGGGATATGTACAATGCTGCCTTGTAAAACAGAGCTGCCTCTCATGCAGATGAAGTCCATGCATAGATTCATAGATTCCAAGACCAGAAAGAAAACAAAACAAAAAAAATCAGTTACTAACCTGTTCTGTAAGTCTTGTTCTTCAAGAGGAGTTCCACATGCCATTCTAATTCAGGTGTGTGCCTACTCAGTGTGCCAGAATTAGAGATTTTTTTCCCCTATTGATATTCGTTGGGGCAGCTCATGCAATCTCCAGTGCCTCTCGTATAGAGGGGAAGGAGAGTGGGTCAGGAAACGGACATGTGCAACATCTCAAAGAACAACAGCTATATAACTGGTTAGTAACCATTTTTTCTTCTTTGAGTGACTGCATGTGTCCATTTCACTTCAAGTGACTCACAAGCAGTTCAACCTGGGTTTCAGTACCTGAACAATAACTGAAGGACTACTCGACCAAACTTGGCCTCATCTCTAGAATACTGGGATACCTTTACAGCGTAATGAGTTGTGTACACCAACAACCAAAGTTGCAGTTTTACAAATGTCTGTTATAGCTACCACAACCAGTCAAGCTGTAGAAGTGGCTCGAGACCTTGAAGAATGTGCTGCTATACCCTGTCTTGAAGGTTTACATTAGCAATGTCATAGCAGATGATTGTAGGAGCAAATCCAGGACAAGATTCTCTAGGCTGAGACTGGAAGGCGTTTTATCCCATCTGCAACTGACACGAACAGCTGGGAGGATGACTTAAACAACCTAGTTCTATCCAAGCAAAGTTCCAGAAGACTGGAAGAAAGTTAGTGTGCCATTTTTAAAAAAGGGTGACCCAACTAATTATAGGCCTGTCTGCCTGATATCGATCCGTGGCAAGATATTGGAGCTCCTCAATTGGGACTCGATTAGTAAAGAATTAAAGGAGGGTAATGTAATTAGTGGAAATCAACACTGGTTTATAGACAATAGATCCTGTCAAAGTAACTTGATTTTTTTTTTTTTTTTTAAATCGAGATTACAAGTTTGATTGATAAAGATAATAGACTTCTAAGACATTTGACTTGGTACCATACAAAATTCTGATTAAAAAACTATAATGATATAAAAATGACATGGCACACATTAAGTAGATTAAAAACTTGGTAATTGAGAGGTCTCAAAACGTAATTGTAAATCCATGGTAATTCTGGCCTAAATGCATAGCAAATAGGATAAACTGTTGGAAAAAACAGGGGTGAGAGAAACTGGCCCAAAACTAACCGATATTCTGTTCCTGAAAGGCAGTCAAACAGGCTGCTTACAAATTCCTGGCTGTCTACAAGACCCTACCACAGAAGAAAACTGAGGAGGTGTAGGTCTCCCCTTGTGATTTTTCCTGTAGTAGTCAGGCTATCTAGGAGTGACAAGCGGGTATCATTGGTATGATTGAAGACAGAACTGTTTCATTTCAGGCAAAGGAGTGTAAATGCCCAATGATTTCAGAGTGGCCCTCAAGTCTTTGAGCTCTGAATCTTCTCACCAGTCTGCTAAGAGAAGAGGGTAGGATCCCTCAAAGGAGAGATTCTGGATAGTCTGTTGGACCTCCTGCAGAACACCCAATGACTGAAACCATGATGAACATCTGTGCATTGTTTCTGCTGATGCCATCCCTCTGGCTGCCAAATCCACCCCATCTAATGCAGCTTGGAGAAAGGTCCTAGCTACCCATTTGCCAAGGTGGCCTGGAACTCCTGCCTGGCACTGTCTGGTAATTTGTTTGCAAACTTCAGTACATGGCCCCAGCGGGAAAAATTTTATCTGGCCAAAAAGGCATGCTAGTTAGAGAAACAAACTGCAGGCCAGTAGTGGAATAAAGCTTTCTATGGAAAATGCTCAGTCTCTTTGCTTCTTTATCCTTTGGGGGAGGAGGCTATTCCTGATGCTTGTCTTGGCAGTAAACAAGAGCGCAAGGAACCAAAGGGATGGAGGTAGAAATGTTGATAGCCTCGAGAAGGGACAAAGTACCTTTGCTCGGTTCTCTTGGCTGTCAGCAGCAGAGATGATGGCATTTGCCAGAACAATCTTGCGGGCTCCAGAATGGCTTCATTTATAGGTAGAGCATTTGGAAAGGTCCTACTGATGCCAGTAGTTCCGCCTGCCCATAGAACTCTATTGCACTACCTTGACTAGAACATCAAGAGAGGAAGCAACCCTCTATAAACTTCTGGTTGGGCCTGGAGTCACCCTGAAAAGGCGAGGACACGCCTGACACCTCCTGTATGGAAAATGATGGGACTTCTGTTTCTGCTTGGTACTGGGAGTAACATCCTGAGCCTCCTCATGGAAAATAATCTGTCATCCACTTGGTGTCTAGAAGGAAGATGAAGCTGGTCGGATCTGGTGGTGGAGGTGGAAAAATCCCATGGGTTCTAATACGGCCATTGGTAGGGTATAGGACCCAAGCCCTACCAGCCCAAGAATCCAGATCCCTTGATCACCTTAGGATATTTGCCAGGCACCAGGAGCAGAATCATCATGAGACAGGCGAGAGAGGAGCAAGGGACATAGAAGCCTACCTCAGTCTCTGATGAAAGATCCTGAGTCACCTGACCATGGACATGCTGTACCATGCGGTGCTGAGGTCGAGTGGCACACCTCCAGAGAGGTTGGTACTAGAGACAGCATGCTGAGTTTGCCTCTGGACTGCACTGTGCAAGGAAGTGCTGGAAAGTCTGAAGTCCATCACAATACTGAGAGTCTTGGAGGCAAGTCTGAAAACACAGCCTGAGGGATCAATCGGTACCGGTTGATTTGTCTCCAGCACTGCTGGAGAATCCAGCACCAAGAGACAGTAGGTCCCGTGCCACAGCATAAGCTTCCAGCATTGCTGGTACTAAGAGATTTCCCTGCTGCTGCATCGAAGGGGATGGTACTGCAGTGGGAGTCCACCTCAACAGCACAAACACCAGTGCCAATGACTCCGGGCAAGATGAAGTCTGTGCCCAAAATGCATCTTCCCAGAGAACACTCTGTCCTGCCATCCAGCTTGTTTGCTGGCAGACAGTACTGGGGACCTCAATATTTTGGAGGAGACTGGCCCTTCAAGGCATGCTGTCTGTGTTTCTTCATCGGCTCCAGGGAATGGGATAGGTGCAGAGTCTGAGGCGCACTTCTAACAGAGGAAGAAATACTCCAGGTAAGGCCCTATGAGTCTAGAACCCACGACTGCAGAGCAACTAGGTAGCTGATATCTCCAGGCTACCACGCAGTGGCAGCTGTAACCAGCTTACAACTCCACTTCCCATGACCCACTGTGGACACAGACCATGGGAAGTTCCGCCTGAAGGGTTTGACAGACAGCAGTCTCATGGCTCCTGATCGGCTCCCTGCCCTATATAAACCGCAGGGGTGTTCCAGGAAGTATCCTTGCAACGATGTGGATCTCCTGTAGCTACCACAACTGTTCCTGCTCCTTGCTTCTGAATTCCTGACTTTCACCTCAGCTTGATTAGGACTTTGCCTCCTGACTCGGACCCTGAAACCTGATTCAGACCCTGACCTTTGGTATCAACCCTGGCCTGTAACCCAACTATGAACATCTCTGCTACTTCCAGCATCAATTTTGTCCCTGCTCTGACCCTGGGCCCTGACTGCCTTTGTTGGGATCCTGACACTCAGTGACCATGTCAAGCAGGAAGGTGAACACAGGATGGCCTCCAGGAGAAGGTGATGCAGTCTCACCTCCCTGCCCATTTTGGTCCAGGACTGGAAGTCTCTGCAGATTTGACAGTGGTCCCGGATGTGACCCTCACCATGGTACTTAAGGCACCTGGAATGGAGGGTCACTGACTGGCAGATTTCTTGCTGACAATGCAAGGCTGAAACCCCAGAGACCGAGCATGCTCTGGTACTTGGCATCAGCATCCAGAACAAACAGGAACTGACATGCTAAGAAAACTAAGAAAAATGACCAATGAAACTTACACTAAAGCACTAATTAACTATGCAATGAGTACCAATAATTATATACCAGAGAGAAAAAAATTTCCCTGAAAGAGAAAGTAGGAACAAGCTAACGTGCTTCAACTACCAATCATGGGAGGCAAAAATGAACTGAGAGCAGTCAGGGTCAATCTGCCCTTTATACCAAAGTGCAGAAGCATGAGGCAGTGGAGGTTGCACGCACTGCCCCAAAAGATACCGCCAAGGGGAAAAAATTTCTGACTCTGGTGCACACATATCTGAAGTGGAATGGACATAGGCAATCTCTTAAAGAACCGTTGTGATCATCTAGTCTGACCTCCTGTATAACATAGGCTAAGTTAACATGGCAGTTCACCTGCTGTATGTCTAGGCTGGTGATATCCATATGCACAATGCAGGCCTCCATGTCCTCCATTAGGTTCTTATCTTGGTAGTGAAGCAGCAAGTCTTTCATCACTTGAGCTGTCATTCCCATCAACTTATCACTTAAAATGTAAGGCTCCAGGCACTCCAGAAAAACACCCTTTGCCACTGAATTCTCACTCAATTTATCATACATCTGGCTGAACAGAAGGTCACTAAGAGAAAAAAGTGACAATTACTTGTTAAAATGAAGATTAATTAAAATCTATTAAATGTTATAATGACCTGCTTTCTATACAAATCGAGTTGACTACAGCATTCTGCATTTCTTAGCTTAACAATTGGAAACCCCACTTAACACTAATATAGACACAGTTTAACACTTTTACAAATGTATCCATCATATTGTAGCCTAGGATGGAAGCTAGTAGAGGCAGCTTTAGCAGAGTGGTTCATGGGTTCATTTGCACCCACAAACACACCCTGGGGGGGCAGGCGGAGAGCCGTATTCACTCCTTTGCATGAGAAATCACATGCAGCTCTATAGCCCAGCATATGTATCATGGTGGTACTGCTCCCAGCCATATCACTGTGCAATGATGTCAGAGTCACATGCTGCCAGGGAAGCCCAAAGGGCAAAGTCTGCCAGAGGATGTGTGGGTATGGGGGGCATGAGGGTGCCCCATGTGTCCCATTCTCTAGGCAGCACGGCACTGGGCTCATTGTGGGGCCTCTCCCCACTCTGCAGCAAGATCTAGATGCTGAGCAGAGATGCCTCCCCGACTGGGAGTAACTGGCAAGGCCCCGGGGTGACCAGCACTGAGAGTGGGCCCTGGACCCTCACCGGACCACACCCCTGCCCTAGCATTCATTATATCATGCTCTCTTTTTATTTATTTTTTTGTTTTGTTTCATACTGTGATTACACTAGAGTTTAGTATAGTGCAAGGGTTCTCAACCTTTTTCTTTCTGAGCCCCTCACCCCCTCCCTCCCCCGCCCTCAAACATGCTATAGAAACTCTATGGCCCAGCTGTGCCCCAACAACTGTTTTTCTGCATATAAAAGCCAGGGCTGGCGTTGGGGGGTAGCAAAGAGGGCAACTGCCCAGGGCCCCATGCCACAGGGGACATCGCAAAGCTAAGTTGCTCAGGCTTCAGCTTTAGCTACGGGTGGTGGGGTTCAGGGTCCCAAACTGCAGTCCTGCACAGCAGGGCTTTGGCTTTCTGCCCTGGGCCCTAGCAAGTCTTAACACTAGCTATGCTTGATGAACCCCTGGAAACCTGCACACAGCCTCCCAGGGGTCCCGGACCCCTGGTTGAGAACCAATGGTGTGATGCACTCATTAAACACGGAGGCTACATCCACCACTGGAAGCTGGTGAAACCATTTTTTCAAAGAATAGTGAAAATTAGACAATGAAGTGCCTCCAAATAAAGTCAGAGAGGTGCTAGGTCCACACATAGTTTCTGTACACATAACTATTTTGGTTATCGTGATTTTTAACCATATAGTTATAACCAGCACAACTCCTGGGGTGGATGCAGCTATACCAATATAAAAACTTTATTTCCCTTCCCTATAGGATAAAATAGATCAGTATAAGCACTTTTACATCAATTCAACTGTGTCCACAATGGGGAGTTGTATTGCTTTAACTAGACTGGCATAGTTAGGTGGCATAACTAATTTGTAGACAAGCTCGAATAAGCATTTAACATGCAGGAAAAGTCCTGAAGTAAAATAGGGACAAGAACTAGTAGACCTAGAAAATCTTTTCCAATTCTATCTCATCTAATTCTTGGAGTTGGAAGGGTGGCACTTGGTTTCTAAGCAAGTGAGTGATGATTTACTAGAGGAGATAAAGAGAAGTATTGAGGGAAAGCAATGTGCACGTAAACTAAACAGAACTCTCTGTAAGCAGATTTTTAAAAAAAATAAAGTGATTAAGTGGAAATGAGAATTTTTTTAATGAAAAATTAAAGCAGTGTCAACTTTTCATTTTCTTGACGTGACATTTTCCTGCTCTTACATAGACTGACACTGTGGTTTAATAATTTTACTGGAAGGTTTTAAGGTGAATGAACCAAAAACATTACTTTTGAACTGGGATAAATATTCATAGCCTAGGGGTCATCTGTTCGAAGGACAAGAAATTACTCGGTGGGGGAATGTAGAAAATTCATAAAAGGAAAAATCTGTCAAGTCAATTTCACAGTAGTTCTAGCAAGAAAAAAAAAAATCTAGAATGGAGGTGCTGAGATACTATGGTGACCAGTTCCATCATAAAAGCTATAAAGATTGGATAGATCGATCAAATATAAGTGTATTGATGGAATTCAAAGAAGTCTTGGACATTTACATGGATACAGGAAAGTCAGTTACATCAGGTAGGGTTAAAAAAAATTAGAAGTGATAAATCATCCTGCTTTATTGCATAACTGGCTTGGCAATAGGGAGGAAGGTTAAAAACAAACTTCCCCTTTTGGCATATTATTCCATAATTGTCAGCTATCAGGTTTTTCAACACCTGTTCCGGTCACCACGAGACAGAGCATACAGGACTAGATGGGCCACTGGCCTGATCTGTGATTGCAATTCCTATGGTTTCATTAACCTGACAGACAAGCATGCAAACTCTCTTACGTTCGCTGAAGTAAAAGGCAGTAATCGACTATGACAGGCACCATATCCTGTAGAAAGACCATTAAGAAAGTGTGAGTAACTCAATCAAAGGTACTGTCAAATGGCATACATTATCAATATGATCAATATTGTGAAGAATCAATGACAGTCAAATAGCAGGTAGCTCTCACATTTAGGCAGTTGCCCAATTAGCCTGGTTTTCCTGGACAAAAGATACAATTATACAGCTGTAACTCCTCCACAGCTACATCCACATCACAGGCCTTTCCAAATTCCAGCAGTAACAAAAAATTTATTTTAGTACAGCAGCTGGCAGAGACTGCAAATCATATCTGGGTCCTGTTAGGCAGGCTGCTACAGACACAATACAGACAAAATTGACCAAGATGTATCAATTGCAGAGGAGGAGTACGAGGACAAAACATGACAGCAACACACGTATGTATCTCAATTTGCAGGTTTCAAGACCTTTTAAAAATCTTCCATACTTGATGAGTGGATGACAGGGGATTTGGGCTCAGCTGGACAAAGGGAAAATAAGGAGACAACGGCCAGTGAGTTTGATTTGGATTCATGTGGCAATGGATTTTCAGAAAAGGTTTCTGACAAAGCTGGACAAGAGTTAATTCTTGAGGAAAATTTTGAGGTATGTTACAGATTATTCTGATGCCCCATTTAATATTACTGAGAACCGGGGCATCTGAGGGGATTAGAGATGGTTGAAGACAAAAGGCAGCTATTCTTCCTCTCCATAAATCTTCTGAAGTAGGAGTTGGCAGACTGATTAAACATTTTGGAACATTAAAATATATCTAATTTTCTCCTAATTCAGTGGGTGAGGCTACCCCTCTATTGAGAGTTCTAGGAACCCTTAAACCTGTACCTGTTAGCCTGGACAGCCTTCTCTGGAACACCTGAGAAAAACCAAGTCCAGTGGCAGAGCTCACTCTCTGGTACCTTGTTCGGCATAGCTTTTACTTTTCCCAAAGGAATCACATTCCATTGTGAACCCCTCAAGTCTCTGCCGTGGGTATCCAGAATTCCACAAATTCATCTCTGGACACTGCTCAGCTTGACATACTCAATCTTCACCTTAATTCGACCCTGGCTAGACAGGTGTAGTTATGCCATTGTTCAAAGAGGCTCAACTTTTAAAGAACAGATAACAAAATGTAACAACTTTGAAAGCAGATTTGAATGAAGCCTCCCGAAGGCCACATCAGTGCTCCAGATGCAGAGTGGAGCACCTTATTCTTCAACTAGAGAATTAGGAAGTTGAGTCATTTTCTGGTCATTATGTCCCAAGAGCTCACTGCCTTCTGGAAGAGCCGTTTAACACCACAGCATTTCAGTTCTGGAATATTCCGTATACAAACTCCTGTTTGTAGGACTGATTTTGGAATACTCCAGAACTCTCAAGCTAATTATGATGCTGGCCTGTAGAGGATTGCTACATACCCTAACAGAGCACACAGGGGATTCAGTCTATTTCTACTGGTGTAGATTAGAAGCATTGAAAATGAGAACAGTCATACTTGAATTAAGAATACCTAGTAGTAGCTAATACCTAATTTCGCAAAGAAATCACACATTTCATGAATGTTTCAACAACATTTAAAACTTATTATATAAAAAAGTCAATGACTTTCAGAGAAAAGCTACAATTTTAATCTAAATTGCAAAGTGTTGACCAAGAGAGCATCTGAGGTGCTGTACCTGAAAGTGTTGCTCCATAACTTGGATTTTTCCCTGGTCAGGACATTTCTTCAATGTTCGATCAGCATAATGGAAGAGGATTTCAACCATCTAGATGAAAAGAGAACAGTGGGAAATTTTCCTCACATACTACTATGAGCAGGGATGGTAGCACCACTGTATTAATGTTGCCCAACATTTCCCATTATAAAAACTTGTTTTCAGTTGGTTATAAAACTTTGCCAAATTAACTGTTCCGCCTGAAGTTCTGCATGCCATGTATGTGCCTCAGACTGAATTTTTTTTGCAAAATTTCACCCAAAACGGTTCAGCCATTTCCAATAATGAGGTTAGGGAAAAACACATTTGTCCTGATGAAAAATGTTATTTGAAAAGCTCTAATGCAGAGGTGGGCAAACTATGACCCGGGGGCCAACATCCGGCCCTCCAGATGTTTTAATCTGTCCCCCAAGCTCCCAACGGGGAGCGGGATCGGGGGCTTGCCCCGCTCTGTGCGGCTCCTGGAAGCAGTGGCATGTCCCCGATCTGGCTCCTATGCATGGGGCAGCCAGGGGTGGGGAAAGCCCCGGAGCCCCCAAGCGCTGCCCCTGCAACTGTGGTTCCCAGCCAATGGGAGCTGCAGGGGTGGCACCTGTGGACGGGGCAGCGCAGAGAGCCACCTGGCCGCACCTCCATGTAGGAGCCGCTGCTTCTGGGAGCTGCTTGAGGTAAGCCCCCCCCAGAGACTGCACCTCTGACCCCCTCCCGTGCCCCAACCCCATTTGATTTTTGATACTCTTATAATCTATATATTCACATATATCTTATACTAATGCGTGTGAACAAAGGATAAAGACCTTGCTTCTGCCCAGCCAGATGGGTTTGTTAGTATAATGAGAAAGAGATAAGATAAGAAAGAGCACATCTAAAATGTTACAGGGTATGGTGGGAGTAGAACATACGACCATACACTGGAAAGCTGCCTGGCTCTTCTCTCAAGTCAAGGTCAAGCAACCAGTTAGGAGGGGCAAAGGGGAGGGCATAAGAAACAGAAAGCCAAAGAAAAGCCTGGCCTTGGCCAGAGCACAACCTCACTCTTTACCCCTCCCACAGGATACAAAAGAAGTGGGACGAAAACTCCACTCACAAGCCTCCAAATATGGAACATGACCATAAGCTGTAAAGAGTGCAACTAGGGGCATGCACTGCAGGTATATTTGGGCCTGATAAGAAGGAGGGAATGGGGAACAGGGACACAGGCAAGGCTCTGCGGCGTCAGAGCTGGGAAGGGGGACACAGGGTAAATGCTCTGTTGGGTCAGAGCTGGGAACGGAACACTGGGGCACGGACTCTGCTGGCGTGTAGAGCTATGGATATGCTTGCTTGGAACTAACCCCAATAAACATTGCATTGCCTGTACTTCGAACTTCTGGTCTTCTGCTTTCTGTCTGTCTGTGTGACAAAAACCAGGGGAGGGAGTGAAGGGAAAGCCCTCTAACACAGCCTAAGGCCGCAGGACCTGAGCAAGAATTTCTCTGAAAATGCTTCTAATGTCAGTTGGGGCCAACAGCATTCTGTTTCCTCCACTGAGATTTCAGCTTTGAACTGAGCCTTTCGATGGTCAGACAGCTGAAGGATGCTCATGCTATCAAAAAATTCCTGGTTTTGGTCTACCAAGGACATCCAAGTGTATAAATGCTTTCTATAATATAAATAGAGGCTGCCAGAATGTCTACTCTGCATGTCCCTCTGTTTGCTTTTTCTTGACTGTTGGTACAAAAAGTAGGAATAGGAAATGGGTGACAGTCTAAGACCCAGAAGCTGAAACAACAGACTCTTCACAACTAACAAGATGCATGTGTTCCAAATGTAGCAGCTTCCTGGTTTTGCTCAGGATAAATGAAAGTCATTTCTCTAATATGAAAAAGACTCCCACTATTTACATCAAACTATTGCCATAGATCAGGGATTGGTAGGCTGACCAGATAGCAAGTGTCAAAAATCGGAACAGGAGGTGGGGGGTAATAGGTGCCTATGTGAGAAAAAGACACAAAAATCGGGACAGCTGGTCACCCTAGGGATCTGCAACCTTTGGCACGCGGCCCATCAGGGAAATCCGCTGGTGGGGTGGGCCAGGCCGGTTTGTTTACCTGCAGCGTCTGCAGGTTCGGCCGATCGCAGCTCCCACTGGCCGCGGTTCGCCGCTCCAGGCCAATGGGGGCTGCGGGAAGCGGCAGCCAGCACATCCCTCGGCCGGCACCGCTTCCCGCAGACCCCATTGGCCTGGAGCAGCGAACCGCAGCCAGTGGGAGCTGCGATCGGCCAAACCAGCAGACGCTGCAAGTAAACAAACTGGCCCGGCCCGCCAGCGGATTTCCCTGACGGGCCACGTGCCAAAGGTTGCCAATCCTTGCCATAGATTTTCACTGTTTAAAAACACACCGGGGATAGTTGGTTTGGGAAAGCGTCTGTGCCTGCGAACAAAGGGATGTTCAGGAGTCTGAGGGCAGGTTGAATATTTAAGTTACCTCTGAACTGGTCTTTGCTGCAATTAATTATTATTTCATTGTGCACTGCCCGCAAAAAACAAGACTCAGAGGCAACTGGGCAATGTCAACTGAAGGGATTATTTTGCAGGTACAGGCACATTTAAGATACCCACTGGAAGTCAGGCTAGGTACATGCAGGATAGCTGCCAATATTGGAGTAGTGAAGTCTAATTCTTGAAGGATACATACTGGCTGGGCAATTGGACTCTGGTACCTGTGAAGTGCCAAGAGGCAGAAATTTGGGGCATGCTAGATACCACATCCTGCAAGTAGCTTTTACCTGAAGTATACGGTCTGTCAGTGTGCCCTATCGCTAGTTTCTAATCAGTTCTCTTTTAAAATAAAGCTCATGATTAAAAAAAAAAAAAAAAAAAAAATCAATCACAACCCACATATGCACACCCACAGAGATTTTTGGAGGACAGAAGCCAATTCTTTCATAAATAGTTGTGGGGTAAATGAAGGGTGGTATCAATACATATGAAATTGGAATTTGGAACTCACTCGGTCTGCAATGACAGCCTTTCGCTTATTGACATCCCCAGACAACCCTGTAAAGGAACACAAAGAGAAACAAAAACAAAGGTTCCTTTTCATAATCAATATGCAAATAGAAGTGAGGACTCATTTCAGCTCCCAAAACTCAGAGATGATCAAATACTTAACTGCTGTAACCCTTTAGCTGCAGGTGTCCAGATTTCCTGACCATACCTAGACACACCTCATACAGACAGGCCCTTCACATTAACAAACGAAACCTACATTTCATGTGAAGATTAAGTTAATCTCTTTATTGATTGTTTTAGAAAAAAGATTTTGAAAGGGCCCTGTTCTGATACTGCCCTATTCAATCAGGAGGATTTGAGTTTTAGGTAACTAAGTCATTACCTGCATGTTTATAATCTCTTAGATTAGTTTTGTGAGGTATAATTATTACCGTACTCATAAGATGTTTTGAGATCTTTGCATGAAAGGAGCTAATTTACTGCACTACAAGTGCAAAATACATATATCCCAATAAAAATATGCAATTCCTCTGTATATTGAAAACTGTGATGTGTAGAAACTAAAATTTGTGATTTTCATTTATTCAAGTACAGTAGAACCTCAGAGTTATGAACAGAGTAATTAACTAACCGGTCAACCAGACACCTCATTTGGAACCAGAAGTATGCAATCAGGCAGCAGCAGAGATGAAAAACAAATAATGTACAGTATAGTACTGTGTTAAACATAAACTACTAAAAAAAAATAAAGGAAAAGTTTTAATGATTATTTCCTTTAAATTAAGATGGTTCAAAGCAGCACTTTTTTCCTGCACAGTAAAGTTTCAAAACTGTATTACATCAATGTTCAGTTGTAAACTTTTGAAAGAACAACTATGACGTTTTGTTCAGAGTTATGAACAACCTCCATTCCCAAGGTGTTTGTAATTCTGAGGTTATACTGTATTACAAAGATATATAAGGATATATACACAAAAGGATATTTGACTATGTCCTGGAACTTAAAGAGCAACCTGTCAAAATCCATCAAAAAATTATTTAGAGAAAACCTAAGGTGAACCATACAAATTATAGTTCATTGGTGAAATTCAGCAAAGCAGGCACAAGGCATATGTAACATACTTCATCAGCAAAGGACACTTAGAGGAGAGGGTGTTACTTTAGTACCCAATAGGACCTCAAAAAAACTCCACCAACTAGTACAACTGCAGGGAAGCACTGAACTGGTGTGCTTTCCAGCTGCCCTAGCAATCCCCTGCATAGAAGCTACCTATGCTGGTTTCTTAGTCACGCCTGCGCATAAGTGAAGATGCGCCACCTTGCCCCTCTTGTGCATTTTTAATCACCCGGGGCCTCTGACGACATTTTTAAAAATTCATATAAACACCTCCTTGGAGCCCTGGGGAACCGTCTAGCAAGGTATGAAACACTGCTTTTCAGTAATCCCCTATTATAAGCCTCATTTTCCAAGAGCCACATTCTTTACAATTGTACTTTTCCAGGAAAGTGAAAGCAGATGGAAATACACCTCTACCCCGATATAACGCGACCCGATATAACACAAATTCAGATATAACGCGGTAAAGCAGCGCTCCGGGTGGGCAGGGCTGAGCACTCCGGTGGATCAAAGCAAGTTCGATATAACGCGGTTTCACCTATAACGCGGTAAGATTTTTTGGCTCCAGAGGACAGCGATATATTGAGGTAGAGGTGTAATTACCCCATAAGCCAGTAGGGGTGGGAGAGGTGCTTTGCCTTAAAACAGCTAATTACTAGAAGGAGAGAAGACTTTACTAGGAAACTGCCCAACTCTGCAAGAACCAGTCAGCCCATGGTTAACACATTTGCATCATTCTAATCACATTCAAACTACAAGAGCTTTTTATTCTTCACTGATACAATTCTCGCTTTAATTTCTTTTGAATAATGCTTGCTTCTGTGTGCACGTGTATAAAAGCTACCCCATTGCTTTAAAATTAACTTACCTACTACAGCCTTTGCTTTACCTTCATGAAAAGACCACGCTAGAGCCAGGGCCTCAGTAAGACAGTCTTGTTTCAGAAGGTGATCCACTCTCTAAAATTAGATGTACAAGCAATACGGGACTCCTCAGAATTCCAGAACAGCAATCCTTTAAGCCACTGTTTCCCAACCGGTGGGTCGTGACCCCCAGGCAAGTGATGAAAGACAATTGTGTGGGTCTCCAGGCATTGAAAACTATTACAATCCCAAGCAAAGAAAATCTTGCTCCCCCACTTACCTTTCTAGGTCAAGTATTCGCGTCAGCCTCTCAAAACTACAAATACATTACAAAGGCTTATTATGGATACATTTTTTACTCTTGTAGTAAATGTAAGGAGGTAGGGGAAATGTTTTATTTCAAATAAGGGGTCGTCAACCTGGAAAAGGTTGAGAAACACAGATCCAGACATATAAGGCCAAGCATTTTAACAGAAATAATTTCAGAGATTTTGAATTTTAAACAATTGGGGTGAAATCCTGGCCCTATTTAAGACAATAAAAAAAGTTTTGCCCTGGACTTCAACAGGACCAAGATTTTATCCACTGTCATTTAAACCAGTGGTTCTCAATCAGAGGTATGGGTACCCCATGGGTTATGCAGAGGTCTTCCAGTGGGTACATCAACTTAGCTAGATATTTGCCTAGTTGTATAACAGGCTACATAAAAAGCACTAGTCAAGTCAGTGCAAACTAAAATTTCTCAGATGACTTGTTTATACTGCTCTATATACTATACATTGAAATGTAAGTACAATATTTATATTCCAATTATATGGTAAAAATGAGAAAATAAGCAATTTTTCAGTAATAGCATGCTGTGACACTTTTGTATTTTTATGTCTGATTTTGTAAGCAAGTAGTTTTTAAGTGTGGTGTAACTTGGAAATACACAAGACAAATCAGAATCCTGAAAGGGGTGCAGTAGTCTGGAAAGGTTTAAACCACCAGCAACTAGTCAGTCTGTATCTGACTTGGAGGTTTTCAGACCCCGCGTAAGCAGTGAATGCAGTGTGCTTCCACTTCCACATTTGGCCCACATCTCCTCAGTTTGGCGAAAGCAAGCAAGATAATTTGTCCCCGAGCTTCTGAGATGCAAGTGAACAGGAGGAGCAGTGCAGAATCTGAAGCCTGTGAGGAAGGCACAAAGATGGCTATGCATTGCCCAGTCTCTGGGCTACCAGGGGCTGCTCTAAGGGTAAGTATACACTACAGAGCTACATCAGCGCAGCTGCACCACTGTAGTGCATCTGGTGAAGACATGCTACGTTGACAGGAGAGAGCTCTCCTGTTGACATAATTATTCTACCTCGGTGAGAAGCGGAAGCTATGTCGGCGGGAGGGCATCTCCCGCCAACATAGCACCAGTGTAGACAGTGCTTAGGTCAGTGGTCCTCAAACTTTTGTGGTGGTGACCCCTTTCACACAGCAAGCCTCTGAGTGCAACCCCCCTTATAAATTAAAAACACTTTTTAAATATTTAACACTATTATAAATGCTGGAGGTGAAGCGGGGTTTCACCTGACATCTCGCGACCCCCTGAGGGGTCCTGACCCTCAGTTTGAGAACCCCTGGCTTAGGTCAATCTAACTTGCCTCAATCAGGGGGATGTCTTTTGCACACCCCTGAGTGGCTTAAGTTAGATCGATTTAAGCAGTAGGATAGGCCAGCCCTAATTTACAGCAGCCTTACCCAGACTGCGCCGCAACCCAGAGTTTGGATAGCACTCCCCCGGCACAACCCTTACACGGGAGGCTGTGAGAATGCAGTGTAAAGCTGTGTACACTGGCCCTACTCTGCACCTATACCAGGGAAACTCCTCTCCCCCACAGGCTGGTTGTGGTACCTTTAATGCCTTCTGTGCACCACTGGAGCAGTGTAATTAGGACCAGGAAGGGGGCCAGAATTGGCTCCAGAGATTTGTTTGAAGGGATGTCTCACAAGTCCTCCATAGCCCACCATTGCAGTGCAGCAAAAATAATTCCCCAGGCTTCCCTGGCAGATAGTTCCATTCACTAACCTGTCCTTATGCTTAGGGTAGAGCCCCAGGAGTAACTTCGAAGGTACTGAGGCCTCAGCACTCTGGGATGTGGGGATTTAAAAGAAGCCCATGCTGTTATGATTGGCTGGGGATTACTTTTCCTTTTACTATGCACTAAGTTCTCCTGATCTCTCTAACCTAAAACAAGCCTATGCTTTTATCACTGGCTGGTTCATAGATTCCAAGGCCAGAAGGAACCATTGTGATCATCTAGCCTCCTGTACAACACAGACTATAGAACTTCCCCAAAATAATGTCTAGAGCAGATCTTTTAGAAAAACTTCCAATCTTCATTTAAAAATTGTCAGTGATGGAGAATCCACCATGATCCTAGGTAAATTGTTTCAATGGTTAATTACCCTCAATGGTAATTGACTTATAGCTACAGAGGACTGTATAATTGTAAACTGAATATATACTGTACCTCTTTCAAGTCAGTGAAGGCGGAAGCATTTCAAGACATTAAAATATTTTTGCAAAGAAGATAAGGGAGAGAAAAAAATACAATTCCTATTCAGTTCCAGCATATGCTGGAAATTGCCCCATAGCATATTGTGGTAAAAAGCTATTCGTGGGACATAGCTGTATATGTAGCTATTATATAAGTTCTGAACACTGATTAGATTATACTTTAAAAATTCTATTAGTCCTGAAGTTCCTCTCCGCCATCAAGCTACTTTTAAACAATTCACACAGTTTATTAAAAAAACATACATGGCTCCTCTCTTGACTTACCTCTCTCCAGCTCCTTATCATCATCACATGAACAGACTGAAAAAAAGAAACAAAAACCATCAGGAAGGGAGATATTCCTTTACGGGCAGTTGTTCATGAGTAACAATCTATGGATTCGCACTGTAGTCTTATTGGAAAACCTGGGAGGTGAGTGGGTGCAAGCCCGCCCACTTCTAAAGGCCCCTCCCCCAGCCTAGCGGGAGGGACCACTGGACCTAGGGACCAAGTGATTACGGGGGACAACAAATGAGAAAAACAGGGACTGAGGTGAAGGTCATAGGTTCAAAACGAGGGTATGAGGGTCCCCGGATGGGGACACCGAGCAGAGAACCCCGGACAGCGTCCACTGCTCCTCAAAGATGTCGAGGGAGCCAGCGGACACTGCCCAGTGGAACTCTGCCCGGATGCATGAAACTAGGGAGGAACGGAAATAGGCCACACAATCGCAGAGCGCCCCCTTGTCCAGCATCCTTCTCCTGGTAGTGTAGATGGAGAGTTTGGCCAGGGCCAGAAGGAGGTTGAAGAGGAGGTCTTGCGACTTCGTGGGGCCACGGATGGGGTGTGCAAAAAGGAACAGGTGCAGGGAAAAGTGCAGCCAGAACCTCGACAAGAGGTTCTGGAGGAGCTGGAATCGGGGCTGCAACCTGGCACATTCAAGATAGGCATGCGCCAGGTTCTCCCTCACGCCGCAAAAGGGGCAGGCGTCGGGTACGGGTGTGAACCGCGCCAGGTACACGCCCGTGCTCACAGCTCCGTGAAGGAGCCGCCAACCGATGTCCCTGGCGGGCCATGGGACCAAGGTGGAATAAAGGCTAGCCCACTGGGGCTCCTCACCCTCTTTAGGTGGAAGATAGTCCCGCCATTTGGTGTCAGGGCGGGACGCAAGGGTGAGGAAATGCAGTGTGTGGAGCACGAGCATGTACAGTTGGCCTCTAGGCGCGGTTTGGAACTGGACCGGCTGTAGGGTGTGCAGCTGGCTCTGAGTGTGGGAACGGGGAGGCAGGGGGGCTCACGGAACAGTGGCCGAATAAAAATGTCTGGAGGGCCCGGGGTGAGCAGGGAGCGCCCTCTCGCAGGGCCCGCTGCAGGAAGACGAGAGAAATGGATGACAAGGCGGTTTCCACCTCCTGGAGTATGCACAGGGGGGTCGGAAGGGTGGAGAGCCCCATGCGCCGACCGAGCACGTGGGGATCCACCCAGTCCCCCCATCGTAGTCCAGGAGGTCTCCGATCCTGGTGGTTTCTGCCAGGACCAACCTCCGGCGCACTGAGGGAGACTCCGCCACCTGCACACGTAGATCGGGGTTGTGTAGCAGGGGCTCCACGAGGAGGTCCACCCCCTCAGTGGCCACAAAGGACCTGGTCGCCAAAAAGAGCTTCCAGGTCTGGAGGAGGTCCTGGTAGAAGACCGGCAGCTCTGAGAGGTCTCTCGGAAGACCCCTCGGGTGGAGAAAAAAGAGCTGCCGGTCATATTGGAGCTCTTGGAGGCGACAGAGGAAGGAGTGCGCCAACGTGCTCCACACCGGACTACCCGCACCATAAAGGAGTCTCTGCAGCGCCTGGAGGCGGAAGACATGGACCTGGCTGCGAAGGCAGACCAGGCCCTGTCCTCCCTCCTCCAGGGGAAGGCTCAAAACCCCTGCAGAGACCCAGGGCAGCCCCAGCCAGAAGAACCCCAGGGCCATCCTCTCCCGGGGAGAGACACTGGAGCAGTCCTGTCCATCTCCGCAGCCGCTCACCCACCCTGGCCTCCAAATCCTGCCAGTTCTCCGGCGGATAAGGATGCGTGCTGGATAGATAAACGCCAAGATAGAGCAGCGGACCCGCGCTCCAACGGATGGCTTGAAGGGCAGGTGGGTGGGAGCTCGCCTGCCACCCGTCCCCGACCACCAGGCCAGAGCTCTTGACCCAGTTGACCCGGGTGTGGAGGCGGCCGCTGAGTAAACGGTCTGGCAGGCCTCCACCTGCACCAGGTCGCCCAGGTCCTGGACTGCGAGGAGCATGTTGTCGGCGTATGCCGACAGGACCAGCCGCAGCTCCGGCTCCCGAAGCACCAAACCCGTCAACCTCCGGCGGAGGAGCCAGAGGAAGGGCTCGATTGCCAGAGTGTACAGCTGGCCCGGAAGGGGGCACCCCCGCCGTACTCCCCGCCCGAAGCTGACCAGCTTGGTCAGGGTCCAGTTGAGCCTGACCAGACACTCCGCCTCAGTGTACAGCACCTGGAGAAAGCCCACGAACTGGGGCCCGAAGCCGAACGCCCGCAGAGTGTCCAGGAGATACTCGTGGTCCATCCTGTCGAACGCCTTCTCCTGGTCCAGGGACAGGAGAGCGAACGACAGACCATCCCTATGCCCCAGCTCCAAGAGGTCCCGGACCAAATACAGGTTATTGAATATGGTCCGGCCCGGGACGGTGTAGGTCTGGTCGCGATGGACCACGTCAGCCAGCACGGACCCCAACCGCAGTGAGATGGCCTTCGCTACGACCTTATAGTCCGTGCTGAGGAGCGAGATGGGACGCCAATTTCGTAGGTCGCGGAGGTCCCCCTTCTTCAGCAATAAGGCGAGCACAGCCCACCTGCACGAGAGAGGGAGGACCCCGCTTTTCAAGGACTCGGCCCAGACGGTGACGAGGTCCGGGCCGAGGACGTCCCAGAACACGCAGTAGAACTCCACAGTCAGCCCGTCCATGCCCGGGGATTTGTTGGTGGGCATGAGACGGAGGGCTTCCAAAAGCTCGGCCAGAGAAAGAGGCAGCTCCAGCCGGTCTCGGTCGCCCGCGCTGACCGTGGGGAGTTCGGTCCAGAGCACCCTGCAGGCTTCGGCGTCGGTTGGGTCTGAGGAGAAAAGGCTGGCGTAAGAGGCCCTGGCCCTTCCACGCATCTCCTCCGGATCCGTGAGGGGGGGCGCCATCCTCCGCCAGGAGGCAGGTGGTGACATGCTTTTTAGCCCCCCTCTTTTTCTCCAGGGCATAGAAGAAGTGGGAGCCGTGATCCATCTCCCGAAGGAGACGGATGCGGGATTGAACGAAGGCACCCCAGGCCTGATGATCCTCCCGGTATGCTGCGCAGAGGGGTGGATCCTCGAGGCCGGAGGCTAGACGCCTCTCTAGCTCTAAGACATCCCACTCCAACTGCCCTATCACCACATCTCTCTGCCGGCTGGCGCCCCGGGAGTAGTCGCGGCAGAAGAGCCATGAGCACACCTTCCCCACATCCCACCACCGCCTTGCCAAGGGAAAGGCGCGCCGCTGCCCCCGCCAGAACTCCCAGAAGGATGCCACGAAGCCCACATCCTCCAGCAAGCTGTTGTTAAAATGTCAATAGGCCGGCCCCGGCCTCTTCGAACTGAGAGAGGCTGTCACGGTCACCAGGTGGTGATCCGAGAACGGGGCCAGCCGGATGCCGGAGGCGTGGGCCCAAGCCACATAGAAACGTGAGAAATAAATGCGGTCCAACCGGGAGTGGCGCGACCAATCGTCCTCCACCCGGACATAGGTGAAGATGGTGTCATTGTCCGGGTGGTGGTCGCGCCAGACATCCACCAGGGAGTGATGGTCCACGATCTCCCTGAGGACGCCCACGGCCGCCTGGGATTTCTCGACTCCTGAGCAGTCCCAGTCCTCGAGGGTGGTGTTAAAGTCCCCGCCCAGGACCAGGCACTTGTGAGGATCCAGGGTACCGAGAAAGGCCGACGCCTGCCGATAGTAAAGCAATCGGTCTGGGCCCGTGTTCAGGGCATAGACGTTGACCAGGTTTAATGTCAGCCCCTCCATACAGGCCCGGACGTGCAGCAGGCGACCCGGCACAACCTCGGCGACCTCCAGCACCTTGTAGCTCGGGGAGAACAGGGTGGCCACCCCCCTCCAGCCGCCAGCTAGCCTCGAAGGCTGGAGCCGTGTGGGTCTCCTGCAGGAAGAGGACAGAGTAGCCCCCTCCCGAAGGAAGGGGAGCACCTGGCTCCTGCGAAGACCCACCCTACAGACCCGGGTGTTTAATGTGCCAAAGATGACGGCTTTCATAGGGAAGGCTGGGGCGGATCCTCACGGGCAGGGTGATCGACAGCCTCCAGCAGGCCCCGCAACAACCCATGTTCGACTCCAAAGGTCAAGAGGGAGTCGCGGAACTTGCGGGCCCGCCGGTAGGCTGCGATGTCCTGCCTCCCGGTCCCTTTCCCCTCCCCCAAAAGGGCCCTCATGGCCCAGAGGACATGATGGAAGTCCCCCCAGCGCTGGAGGGCAAGCTGCACCTTGCCCTTTGAGCCACGGGTGTCCTTCAGGAAGCGGCGCAACTCATCCTTCAGCACGGAGGGGGACGCAGCAGCTGGTGGGGCCCCCGAGAGATCCTTGCGGCCTGCGGAGACGGGCAAACAAGGGGCCGAGCCCCGTCTCCATCCCCGGCAAGGAAGGGGGCGGCAGAGGGAATAGTGCAGCCCCCATAACGTGGGGAAGGGGAGACACGAAAACCGCCCCCTGAGGGTTGTCCATGGGTAGTGGGAATGAGACAACCTCGGGGGCGGCAATAGAATGGGAGGTGGAGGGGAGAGGAACAGGCGATGCTTCGGTGGCAGGGACAGGATCTGGAACAGGGGCAGGAGGAGGGGCGGGAACGGGATCAGGGGCAGGGACTGGAGCGGGTTTGGGAACTGGGGCAGGGGCAGGAGAGGTGACAGGGACAGGATCGGGGGCAGGGACTGGAATGGGAACGGGGACAGAGAAAGTTCCAGGGTCCTCTCGACCGGGACTCAGGGCAGGAGGGGGGCCTTTGCTGACGCCGGGCACAGGCGTCACTTCAAGTGTGTCGCCCGCAGCCACGGCGTCCAGCATGATGGAGTCGTCAGGGGGGCCCCCCTCTGGAGGGGAGGCTAACCGCTCCGTCCGGGTGGTAGAGGGTGCGCCCACAGGCTCAGGGCCCGGCCGCTCGGCATCAGCGGTCGCCCCGAGGGGCTCGGCGGCCTCACATGGGGTGGTATCCGGGCAAGGACAAGAGCGGGGGCTACAGCACAGGGTGAGGGGCAGGTGGGAGGAGGGGCCAGCGGGGCTAAACCGCTGCCCAAATCGAGGCCCACTGGCGGGGGGTCGTCCTCCCCCTGGGTAACCGGGGTCAGGCCCAGGGCCTCGATCTCCTCAAATATGGACGCACAATTTGCGGGCTCCGCACTTCTCCTGGAAGTGGAGGTGGAGGGCAGGTCAGCGGGGGCAGGGCCAGGGGGCAAGGGCGATTGTTTTGGGGCTCAGGGCGGCAAGGGCGGGACAGCGGGGGGAAGGGAAACCTCCCCCTGGGGTGGGCCCTCTCACTCGGACAGCAGGGGTTTCGGGGGTCCTGGATGCCCCTCCATGCCGGGCCAGGGGACAGTTCCTCCAGACGTGCCCAGTCGCCCGGCAGAGGAAGCACCGGGCCTCCCCCGTCGTATAATGAACCTGGTAATGGGCCCCCTGGTAGGGCACCAGGAAGGACCCCTCGAGCGCCACCCCGTCACGCGCCGCCGGCGGTAGTTGGATCTGGACCTGCCGGCGGAAAGACAGGACGTGACGGAGGGTGGGGTCCTTACAGCCCAGCGGGAGAGGGCTGACGACGGAAATGGGCTTTCCCAGGGTGGAGAGGGCAGGCAACAGGGCAGCGTTGGAAAGGAAGGGCGGGACGGAGGTTAACACCACCCGTACGTGCAGGTCCTCCAGGGGTTCCAAGGGAACAAACGCCCCCTACCGCCAGGCCCTTCTCCACCACCTCCTGCGCGGTGGCCTCCGACACCAGGAAGAATACGACCTTCCCATACAGTTTGGAGGCCGCCACGACGGCCGTGGGTCCCACCGCCCTCGCCAGTGCCCGCACATATGTTTCGACGTGGGGCAAGGAGGGCACTAGGAGGCAGCGGACGCCGGGCCTCCTGGTCATTAAGGGGAAGGAACCCCGGCCGCCAGGGATGGTACCGGAGGCAGCAGTTGGGGCGGATGGCACGGTGGCACGCAGAGGGGCGGGCGGCCACCTGGGCGTACGCTCTGGGGGCTTGAGATGGAACACCCCCAGAGCTGGTGGAAGGGACAGCAGGGGAAGGAGGGGCCGCGGCAGGTGTCGGGGCCGCAGTAGGGAGGGCAGCCCCGCCGGCGGGAGGTTTTGATTTCCGGGCGGGGCCTTTGCCCTTTTTATTCCCCTGGCCCTTTTTGCCAATGGAAGGGGCGGCCATGGCAGCGGCCGAGTCAGGGGTGGCCAAGAGGCCAGCCGCTGGGGCGGGCGGGGCGGTAACGAAGGGGACACCACAGGGTCAGCAGAGGCAGGGACAGGGGTGGGGGTTGAAGCAGGGATTGGGACAGGGGCAGGAGCAGGGTCCTCCTCCATGATGGCAAGAGGAGGCCCTAATATGGGGGTGAGGCGACGGGCAGCCGCTCCTCCCCGTTAGGCAACACGCAGGGGAGGAGGGTCCAGCGGGAGGGACAGGGAGGATAGGGAGAGGGAATGGGGCTAACCAATCCTCCCTGCTAGGCCGTCTATAGGGAAGGAGGGCGCCCCTGGGGTAGGAGGGCGGGGAAGGGAGGAAGAAACAGCCACTCCTCCCTGCTAGGCTGCAGGCAGGGGAGGAGGGTCCAGCAGTGGGGTACACAGGGGGGATGGGGGAGAGGGAACGGGGCTAACCACTCCTCCCTGCTAAGCTGTGTTCAGGGAAGGAGGGCACCAGTGGGTGGTGAACTGCAGGGGGGAGCGAGGGAGAGGGAAGAAGCAACCGCTCCTCTCTGCTAGGCTGCAGGCAGAGGAGGAGGGCACCAGCGATGGGGTACGCAGGGACAAAAGAAGGGGGCACAGGAACTGGGTAGGGATACAGGTTCCTCCGGCTGCACTGGGAAGGGGAGGGACTACAATATCAGTGGGGAGGCTGTGACTAGTGTGTGTGTGTGGGGCAACCGAAAGGGAGCACAAGCGCTTATGGAGGAGGCATGGGCGCACGGGTAAGGGGAACCGAACTAGGAGGGGGACACGGGAGGGCAGAGGAAAAAGAAAGGGGCCAGGCAAATCACAGGCAGGAACTACAAGGGGAAGCGCGGGGCGGGCAACCAAACCAAAGCCCAAAGTTTGGGGCAGGGCAGGTAAATACTGAAGGGCTAGGGCGGGGCAGGCAAACCAACAGAAACGAAAACCCCTAGAGGGTCAAAGCAGGTGGCAGGCGGGGAGGGGCAAACTAACCACAGGGGGGCCGGGGGGCACAGCAGGGAGGGGGCCCCACCAGCCAAATGCAGCTGGGGGGTAGGGTAAGTCCAAGGTGGGGAGGTACGTGTGCCCACGTGCGCTTGTGTAGCTCAGTCCTTGCTGCTCACTGCTGCAAACAGGCCCAGGTGGTGAAAGGGGGGGAACAAACAGCCCCGTCGAGGGGCGAAGAGCAGGTCCAGGTGGTATGCGGGGTGGTGGAGGGGGCGGCGGAGGGGGTGGTGGCAGGGGGAGGGCTTCACGCCTCTCCCCCACGCTCCCCTCAACAGCAACAGGAGTCACCACCACCCCAGGAGCAGAGATGTTAAGAGTCACCCAGTTTGTAAACAAACCCCCTTCACAATGTCCCTTGGTAGGAATCCTCCTCTTCTGTCTCCTCGACAGCGAGCAGCAGTCAGCCGGCCAGGCAGGAGGGACCATTAGGTGATGGTGGGGCCCATGCTTCTCCCTCCAGAGGCCGGGGGGGGGAGGGAGGCCAGCCAGGCCTCCCCCCCCCCAACTCAGCAGCAACAGCAGCGGTAGTCCAGGGAGGGAGACTCCAGCCAGCAGAAGCAACAGCAGCAGCCCAGGAAGGGAAGGAGAGAGCTCCAGCCAGCAGCAGCAGCCCAGAGTAGCCAGAGAGGGAGGGGTCCAGCCAGCAGGGCAGCCCAAGAGGACTGACCAGTCCCTGTAGTGGGGTGGCTGCCTCACTCCTGCAGAACTGGGGTTGAAAGCAGCCCTGGAGAGGGCTGTGGCTGGGAAAAGGAGTGAAAGCAGCCAAGCTACGCTGATTGGGGAAGCAGCCACAGCTGTGGCCAGGTCAATTAGGGCCCAGCTGGCCCTGATAAGAGGGCTGGGGGCCAGGAGCTGAGGAGTCTCTAGCTGTGGAGAAAGAAGGATCTTACTGCCTGGGAGCTCAGGGTACCGGGAGTAGAGCAGGAGTGGGGAAAGGCAAGAGGAGCTGGGGAACTCTAGCCTGGCAACTCCCCAGGCTGAGGCCTTGGTAAAGGCCTATGCAGGTACTGGGGCTGGGAGGTGCAGCCCAGAAATAGGCAGAGGCAGCTGGTCCAACCTCCTTGCCAATGATGAGTGGCCATGACAGACTGCAGTTGCCCCAGTGAGTGGGGGCTAGATGATGACTGGCAGTAGCCACTGGAGCAAGGTGGGTGAGAGGATTGGGGGTTCCCCTGGGAGGGGAGACCCAGAGCAGGGGTACTGCAGGGGCAGAACCCCGAGGTAAAGGGCACCAGGGTCCTAAGGCAGGTGAGTCATCGGCCAGCAGAGGGCACTCCGGAGGCTGAAGAGCTAATTCCCAAGGTGGCCAGCGGGAGGTGCCGCACCCGTGAGTCTCAACCTCACTACACCCACACATACATTATAGTGTCCCAGTGATACAAAGAGGCTGCAATTACTCTTCAGAGACTGGACACCACTCCAAACAGGAGAATTTCCTACCAGCTATTATATAGCAAGTTTATAGTTCCCAAAATGTTCCTACAAGACTCTGCTTAAGACTGACCTATATTTGAGAGAATGGAGGACACCAAGCACAAGGATGTATCTTATTGTTCCATATGTTGGGATTCGGCCTCTCTCACTTTTCACTGGTTCCATTCACTCTAGTGCTTCTTGTAAAGGAGGGACTTGTTAATTTCTGTACATTTCATTTGACATTTTACCCACTATACATTTATTCTGAAGTAGCACTCAGCAGGGACTGTAATCCCAGCTGCTACTTCAGCACATGCCTGGGCTAAGACCGGACTGGATTCAGGAAACTTAAAACAAACAACACTAGAGTTACTGCCTACAAAACCTCCCCATTTTACAGCCCCATGTCCTAAAGCTTCATCAGAGGTAAGACTGCAGCACTTAGGACCTCACAGCTCCACTGAAATCTTTCAGCAATCTCCCTTGCAGAACATTTCTTTCACTAGATACAAATACTCATTTGGATCACTAAAGCCACGTTATTCTTGAAAGTGCATTACATTTCCTGAGAGCTGTCTGCATTTACCTTTGTGCCAAGATAGAAGATCTGACCACCACAGCTGCTGATGGACTGGTAACAGGCTTTCTCCCCAACCAGGGCCTGGGAAAAATATAACATTTACTCCAGCACAAGCTGCTTTTATTTTTATTTTCAGTGAACATAAATGACATGTGGCTGTAACTAAACCCTGGAGACATTTAGCAATGAAGAAATAAAACAAGATTTGGGGAGGAGACAGCAGTTTGCCCAGTCATGCTGTACACATGAAGTGGAGCTGGAGACCTAGCCACCCAATCCCTTTCACAGATGCTAACTCATACTTCACTGGAAAAGTCATTCAGTGCAGGGAACACTGTCTCACACATGTGTTAGTGATGACAATTACTGTGTTCACAAGACACCACCAGGAAGCTAAAAGAAAGAAAAATCTCATGAGAAATGGCAATTCAGAGTAACTCAGTCTTCTTATTTCACAATATAAGGCATTTCTGCTCAGGTTTATCTAGTTAAGGCCAGAGAGAGAAAGGGAAAAAAAAGATAAAACATAGAAGGATGAAATCTTCAATAGGAGAGTGCCTTGAGCATCAGCCAGGATGTTGGTTAAATATGGACTCCAAGGAAAGAATATCCCCTACCAAATTACCATCCTCACTTCCTCCATCCCCTGGGTTTTTCTAGACATATCCCGATCTGGCACAACCCTGCTTAGCATATGAGACCTGCTGAGATTATAGCCAAAGATGATATGACTGCAGTCTTTGCATAACAGCAGCTGGAAAAAAACCTCTGGTAATTTACCATAGCAAAACTGGTTGAGTGTTGCCTCTGCAAAGGTTAATGGTGATCAGAGTCTCAACACAAATATCATTAACAAGGGGGAAGGAATGCAAGCCAAAATAGGGAAAACAGGTTAAAGAATATTTAATTTAGTTAGATGTATTCAAGTCAGCAGAGCTTGATGAAATTCATCCTAGTGTACTTAAGTAACTAGCTGAAGTAATCCTGGAACTGTTAGCAAATATCTTTGAGAACTCATGGAGGATGGGTGAGGTCCCAGAAGACGGGAGAAGGGCAAACATAGTACCTTTCTTTCAAAAGGAGAACAAAGAGGACCTGGGGAATTAAAGACTAGTCAGCCTAACTTTGATACTTAGAAAGATATCGGAACAAATTATTAAACAATCAATTTGTAAGCACCTAGAGATAAGGAATAGCCAGCATAGATTTGTCAAGAACAAATCATGACAAACCAACCTAATTTCCTTCCTCCTCCTACTGGCCTAGTGGAGAAGGAAGAAGCAGTAGTGAGAGAGATCAAGATATTTCACATCAATCCCACAAGACATTCTCATAAGCAAGCTAGGGAAATGTGGTCTAGATTAAATTACTATAAGGTGGGTGCACAACTGGTTGAAAGACAGTACTCCAAAAGTAGTTATCAATGGTTTGCTTTCAAACTGGGGGGGCCTTATCTAGCGAGGTCCTGCAGGGGTCAGTCCTATTCAGTATTTTCATTAATGACTTGGATAATGGAATGGAAAATATGCTTATAAAGTTTGCAGATAAAACCAAGCTGGGAGGGGTTGCAAGCAATTTGTAGGATAGAACCAGAGTTCAAAATGACCTTGACAAACTTGAGAATTGGTCTGAATTCAACAAGATCAAATTCAATAAAGACAAGTGCAAAATACTTCACTTAGGAAGGAAAAAAAAAATCAAATGCGCAACTACAAAATGGGAAATAACTGGTTAGGTGATCATACTGCTGAAAAGGATCTGGGGTTTCTAGTGGATCACAAATTGAACACGAGTCAACAATGTGATGCAGCTGCAAAAAAGGCTAGTATTCAGGGGTGTATTAATAGGACTGTCGTATGTAAGACATGGGAGATAATTGTTCTGCTCTACTTGGCATTGGTGAGGCCTCAATTGGAGCACTGTGTTCAATTCTGGCTGCCACACTTTAGGGAAGATTTGTATAAATTGGAGAGTCCAGAGGACAGCAACAAAAATGATTAAAGGGTTAGAAAATACGACCTATGAGGAAAGGTTAAAAAACTGGGCATGTTTAGTCTTCAGAAAAGATGACTGAGGGGAGGACCTGATAATAGTCTTCAAATATGTTAAGGGCCATTACAAAGAGGACTGTGATCAATGTCCACTGAATGTAGGACAAGTAGTAATGGGCTTAATCAGCAGCAAGAGATTTAGATTAGATAGTCGGAGAAAAAAAAATCTAACTAAAGTTAGTTAAGCTCTGGAACAGGCTTCAAGGGAGATTGCAGAATCCCCAACATTGAAGGTTTTTAAAACAGATCAGAAACACTTGTCAAGGATGGTCTAGGTTTAGTTGGTCCTTCCTCAGCACAGGGGGCTGAACTTAATGCCTTCTGAAGGTCTCTTCCAACCCTACATTTCTGAGTCTATATTCCCACTTCTGGGATGCGACCCACCCCAGCACCACTGAGCTTCAGCAGCTTTCTGGAAAACAGCATCCAATGAGACCATACAAGAACCCTCTTGCAGCACTCTGTATTGGGACCTGTCGTTATAAGAGGCCAGGGGGCCCCAATAACTTCAGTTTCTTCCACTCCGTTTTAGGAGAGGAACGCTGAGGAAAAGGGAAAAGTGTGGCCTTTGCATAATCACTCTACCTGCCCAATCTCAAAGAACCAGCTGCTACAGTCACCATTATATTTTTTCTTTGAAGAGGGTTCTGAAGCTCAGTGGGATGATGGTGCATCCTGTAAGTGTGAATGTGAAGAGGCAACACTTCAAGAATTATCAGTTCTCGCTAAACTAACAAACAAGCTTTTTAAAAAGGCTCTTTAAAGACAACATTTTAGGCAGTCCCAAACTTCCCTGTTTAAAAAAAGCAAATTTCAAAGACTTATCAAATCGACAAGTAAAATACTAGCAGGCTACAACGTTCATAGGTCTTTACCAATGCTTGGCTGACATTGCCTCCTGTGGCCAGTGATTTGAAGTGACTGCTGTTATATACTAGCTGCACCTCCGAAATCTCTATGGTCTCCAGCTCCTCTTGTGTCTGGCGATCTATCACGTGCAGCTTCTCCACACTGTCCAGAAGCACTACTGTGCGTGAGTTTATCCACTGGAAAAAAGGCATATGTCAAACTTCAGCAACATTTAATACATAACTATCAGGACACATAGCACAATATACTACAAGAACACCCTAGAGCACTAATATCTTAAGCTAGTGGTAGCTGGCAGCATACAGAAGTTATTATTCTGGGTATTTGGGGTAAGGCTGAAGTTTAGAATCCAACTGTTTTACAGGGCAAAAGTGTAGCTACAAGGAAGGTGACAACCAGAAAAAACTTTCTTTGGAGCACCCAGTTATGACAAACTTCCTCAGGGAGTTTAATTTCTTATACTGTATGTATTTAGTCAAAAGAAAATCCACCACAATTTTTGCTCTTACAGCAGAATATATACCTGGCACATCTATATTGCCTTCCTCCCTGAAATCCAAGCACTTTACAAGTATAAAATGGTTACTCACTTTCTCGTAACTCTTGTTCTTCAAGATGTGTTGCTCATATTCATTCCAATTAGGTGTGCGCGCACGCCGCGTGTAAAGTTGACAACGTTTTTCCCCTAGCAGCACCCGTCAGTTCAGCTATGAAGCCCCCTGGAGTGGCGCCTCTATGGTGATCAATATATGACCCTGCCGACCCATCAACTGCTCAGTTCCTTCTTGCCAGTTAACTCCGACAGAGGGAAAGGTGGGCGGGTTTGGAATGGATATGAACACCACAGCTCGAAGAACAGTTACGAGAAAGTGAGTAACCATTTTTCTTCAAGTGATTGCTCATATCGAATCCAATTAGGTGACTCCCAAGCCTTACCTAGGCGGTGGGGTCAGAGTTATGGAATTGCTGATTGGAGTACTGCTCTGCCAGAAGCTGCATCATCTCTGGCATGCTGGCGTAATGAGAGGTGAACGTATGCACCAAGGACCAAGTTGCTGCCCTGCAGATTTCTTGGATTGGGACCTGGGCTAGGAACACTGCCGAAAAGGCCTGTGCCCTTGTGGAGTGTGCTGTAAGTGCCGGGGCTGGTATCTTGCCAGCTCGTAGCACGTACAGATGCAGGACATGATCCACGAAGATATTCTTTGAGATGAGACCGGGAGCCCATTCATACGGTCTGCCACAGCTACGAACAACTGGTTCGACTTCCTGAACTGCGTAATACGCTCAATGTAGAAGGCTAGTGCTCGCCGAACATGCAGAGTGTGCACCCTCTGCTCGCAGCTACTGGCATGAGGCTTAGGATAAAAAACACGCAGGAATCTGTCTTGGCTAGTATGGAAATGTGACACAACCTTAGGAAGAAAGGCCGCGTGAGGTCTGAGTTGCACCTTATTCTTGTGGAAAACCATATAAGGTAGGTCAGAGGTAAGGGCCTTTAACTCAGACACCCTCCTTGCTGATGTAATGGCGACCAGGAAGGCTACCTTCCACAACAGATAGAGAAGGGAGCAAGTCACCAGTGGTTCAAATGGGAGTCCCATTAGTTTGAAGAGGATCAAGTTAAAGGTCCCACACAGGAACAGGCTGTCTAATCTGGGGATGTAGCCGTTCCAGACCCTTGAGGAACCGGCCAACCATGGGGCTGGCAAAAATGGAGCGTTCAGATGCTCCCGGGTGGAAAGCCGAGATAGCAGCAAGATGTAGTTTTATGGATGATGCTGCCAGGCCTTGCTGTTTCAGGTGCAGAAGGTACTCTAGGATGAAAGGTATAGACGCCTGAAGTGGGGGTGTATGAAGCTGGTTACACCAGCAAATAAACCTTTTCCACTTTGCCAGTTGTGGCCCTAGTGGGGTTCTTCCTGTGCTGAGTAAGACCTCCCTTACCTGTTCCGAGAACAGAAGCCCCTTGGGGTTCAGCCATGAAGCTTCCAGGCCATGAGGTGGAGGGACTGGAGGTCGGGATGAAGACAACAACCGTGGTCCTGAGTGATCAGGTTGGGGAGGAGTGGCAACACGATCGGGGCATCCACCAATAGCTCTAGGAGCGTGGTGTACCAGTGTTGTCACCAGAATTATCTCCACCCCGTCCCTGCGGACCTTGAATAGGACCTTGTGCACAAGAGGGATCGGGGGAAAGGCATAGAGCAGGCAGCTTCCCCAGGGTAGCAGGAATGCATCCGTGATTGAGCCTGGACTGCGTTTCTGGAAGGAGCAGAACACTGGGAACTTTCTGATGCTCCAGGTGGCAAACAGGTCGACCTGGGGAAACCCCCACCTTTGGAAGATGGAGTGTATGACATCCAGACGGATGGACCACTCGTGATTGGGGAAGGATCTGCTGAGGCCGTCCGCCAGTGTGTTCTGAACCCCGTGTAGAAAGGATGCTTCTAGGTGAATGGAGTGGGTTATGCAGAACTCCCATAGCCGGAGGGCTTCCCGACATAGGGGAGAGGAACGGGCTCCACCCTGCTTGTTGATATAAAACATGGCCGTGGTGTTGTCCATTAGAACTGCCATGCACTGGCGTTGTAGTTGGGCTGAAAGGTTTGGCAGGCTAGTCGCGCCACCCTCAGCTCCTTGATATTGACATGGAGAGAGCTCATCCTGCGACCACAGGCCCTGCGTTTGGAGGTCTCCCAAATATGCCCCCCATCCCAGAGGTGAAGCGTCCGTTACCAGGGACAAGGAGGACTAGGGGCTGTTGAAAGGGACTTCTTCATACTCTGTCCAAGGGTCGAGCCACCATTGGAGGGACTCGAGTACTTTCTCTGGCACTGTGACCACTGAATTCAGGCTGTAGCGCCCCGGGTGATACGCCAAAGCGAGCCATGCCTGGAGTGGCCTGAGCCTCAGTCTGGCATGCCGGATCACGTAAGTGCAGGCTGCCATGTGGCCAAGGAGACTCAGACATCCCCTTGCTGTAGTGGTCAGGTACTGTCTGAGGCCTTAAATAATTTCTGTCATGGCTTGGAATCAGGACTCTGGCAAAAGTCCTCTTGCCTGAACAGAGTCCAACACTGCCCCGATGAACTCTATTCTTTGGGTTGGTGACAAGATTGACTTGTTCATGACTTGTTCATGTTGAGGAGACCCAGCTGACTAATTGGAATTGAGACTCCAACTGCTCCCTAGTGTGCCCCCTGAGCAGCCAGTCATCAAGGAAGGCTACTACGACCGACATGCAGTTGGTGAACACTTGGGGGGTTCTGTTGACAGGCTGAAGGGAAGGACCATGAACTGATAATGTTTGTGGTTGACCACAAACCGTAAGAATCATCTGTGTGCAGGCCAAATAGCTATGTGAAAGTACACGTCTGTCATGTTGAGGGCAGCATACCAGTCTCCCAGATCCAGAGAAGAGATAAATTGTACTCAGGGAGACCATGCAGAACTTGAACTTTGCCATGAACTTGTTGAGTCCTCGCAGGTCTAGAATGGGTATGAGACCCCCTTGGCCTTGGGGATTAGGAAGTATCGGGAATAGAATCCCTTGCCCCTGAGTTCCTAAGGAACCTCCTCCACTGCTCCTATGGTGAGGAGCGCCTGCACATCCTGGATAAGGAGTTGCTCGTGAGAAGGGTCCCTGAAGAGGGATGGGAAAGGGCGGGTGGGAGGGAGGGCAGGAACAGAACTGGAGAGAATATCCCATTTCCTCCATACCGAGGACCCAATGGTCCGAAGTTATTTGGGACCAAGCACGGTAGAAGTGGGACAGACAACTCACGAAAGAAGGGGAAGGATACGGAATCGTGGCTGGTGCACCATCCTCAGGCGCACCTTCAAAAGGCCTGCTTGGAGCCCGAAGATGGTTTGGTCAGGCCCTGGCCCTGCCCAGGCAGGGAGTGGGAAGGCTTGCGTCTGCCATTCCTGCCCCTTCTCCTATAGAAGTCCTCCTTTGGCTGAGAAGGATAGGAGCGTTGTTGCTGTTGCTTAAAATGTTTATGTTGGGTTGCCGGGGTGTGCATACCCAAGGATTTCATAGTAGCCTGGGAGTCTGTTAGGCTATGCGACCTGGAGTCCATCTGTTCCACACACAGGCCTGCCCCAGCAAAAGGCAGGTCCTGCATGATCTGTTGAACCTCGGGCGGAAGCCACAAGGACTGCAGCCATGAGCTACGCCTCATGGAGATTCCAGAGGACAAGGTACGTGCTGCCAAGTCCGCAGCATCCAGTGATGCCTGTAAAGAGGTCCATGCCACTGCCTTGCCCTCCTCAACGATAGCTTCAAACTCCTCCCTGGACTCTGCTGGCACCAGCTCCTTAAATTTCAGCATCATGTTTCAGGAGTTGAAGCTGCTGGTTGGCAATCCTGAGTTGCAAGCCCCCCATGGAGTACACATTGCGCCCGAACAAATCAAGGGCCTTGATGCCCTTTGACTTGCAGAGGCAGCTACAGCAAGCCCAGCACCCTGCTCGTTTACTATACCAATGAACAGGGCTGTGGGTGTGTAAAGAGGTATTCGTACTCCTTAGAGGGGACGAAATACTTTCTCTCTACACCCTTCACAGTGGGAGGGATGGAGGCTAGGGTCTGCCAAATGGTCTTTGTGTTGGCCTAGATAGTTTTGATAAGGGGTAGAGCCACTATCGATGGGCCTTCCATGGCCAAGATGTCGACCATAGGGTCCTTTGACTCCACCACCTCCTTGGCCTGCAGACACATAACCGTGCCACCCTGCGTAGGAGGTCCTGATGGGCACAGCTGTCTATGGGGTGGCAGCCCCAAGGCAGAAGTGCCCGCAATCGCCTCGTCCAGGGAGGCCGAGGAGGCTAATGGGGGAACAGGGTCCTCCTGACCCTCTTGGTCCCCAGGGGCCTCCTGCCCTGCCTATTTCAGGGCCAACCACCCCCGGATCTAGCTTGGGAACGGGGATCGGTTCCAGGGGCGGTAGTGCGGCCAGTACCTCCTCAGCACCCCTGGGGTGGGGCGACTGGCCGATGCCTCCGGCACCGTTGGTTCGGACACCGCCGAACAGGAACCCTTGGATTGGGTGCCCTGGGCTTGGTGGTACACCTACAGGGACCAAAATGGCCACTGTGCAGGCCATGGCCCTGCATCCACATCAGGCCTTCCATAGGCTGACCTGTGCCGGTCCTGCTCAGAGTATCTAGACCCCTCCTCCGAGTCAGAAGACTGGGACCAGGATGGCGGTGCTGAGCGCGGCTGGGCTGGGGAGCGGTGCCGCAACTGGGATCTGCGCGGGGACGCGGACCGGTGTCAAGACGACCAGTGCCAGGAGTGGGACACAATGTGTGGTGGGGATCGGCACCGGGATCCCGAGCGGTATCTTGCCTCTGCTGGCGGTGCTGAAGGACGAAGCATCGCGGGTTTGCCTCGAGACATTGCCACACATTGTGGCACCAGAGGCTTGGCTCGGACAGGGGACCATGGCGCTGTCATGGCGATCAAGTCCCTCACAACCTCAAAGGTGTCCGGGGTGGACGGCAGTTCCACCTCCTCAATCACCTGCCTCAGGAAGTCCAATGGCACTGGACTCGGCCATCCCCCTTGCGGGGCCGAAGTAGACGGTGCCAGGCTCCAAAGTTTTTGGCACTGGGTGCTCCTCCCTGGGACGCACCCCATTTGCCGGCTCCAAAGGGGTGGGTCCCGGAGTCGGAGATCCACTCCTCCCCTGCTTCCGGTGCCGCTTCTGCACTGGGGAATGGGACCGGTGGCTAGGCCATTCCCACTGGTTTTGGCACTGGGGAGCAGCGGTGCCACGGGTCTCTTCCAGAATCCTTCCATGGTGCCACTTCTGCCGCTGTCGCCGGGGCATTGCGCACCGATGAGCTCGGTGCTGGGTCTTGCCGCACCAGTGCAGGTTGTGGTCTGAGTGCTGCCTACATAAGGAGGTGCTTGAGGCAAAAGTCCTGCTCCTTTTTTGTTCTGAGGTGAAACCCTTTACAAATCCTGCAGTTGTCAGCCTGGTGTGCTTCCCCCAGACATTTTAAACAAGCGTCATGGGGGTTGCCTGTTGGCATGGACTCGTCGCAGGACTTGCAGGGTTTGAACCCCTGGGACTTAGGCATACCCCAAGTCCCCAAGGAGAGAAAGCGGTCGGGTTGGAGGGGAAACGCCCACTCCCAACAGCTATCTGTTGTAACTACAGTAAACTACTTAAACTAAACTCAACTAGGCTAGAGAATTCTAAAGCTATACTAAACTGAAAAGCTAGGGAAAACAGGGAGAGCTTGCTAAGCAAGTCACCACACTTCCAACGACCATCACTGGGGGTAAGAAGGAACTGCGGAGGCGCCGGGTCGGCAGGGTCATATATTGAGTGCCATCGAGGCGCCACTCCAGGGAGCTCCACAGCCGACCCGACAAATGCTGCTAGGGGAAAAAAAAACTTTCTATTGACTGCGCACGCGGCACGCACACACCTAATTGGAATTGATATGAGCAATCACTCGAAGAAGAATACAAAGTTATTCTCAATCCCCTGAGTAAGATAAGGGGCAAAAAGGCTTATCAGCATTAGTAAAAGGAACATAGTAAACCCCTTCAAAGCTGGGAATTGAATTTGAGTCCTTCATCCAATTCCTAGTAAAATTTATCCATTAGGCCATACTCCCAAACTGAAAAGGCTTTTCTGTTTGTTTTCAGAGTGCATCTATTTTTCAAGAAACTTCATTTGCTAGATTGGAGATTTAAAACTGCCAACATACATAACTGGTTCACTGTGGCATTTCTGTATTTCATTGTTATATCCTTAGTGTTCTTTAAAAAGTGTTTTTAGGGTTTGTATGTACACTTTTATGTTAAAAACATCAAACAGGAAGATGGTACGTTAACAAAATATATGTGTAACAGAAACCAATATGCTAGAGCTTCCCGGCTTCTTCGGAGCCATTACTTAGTTGTGGGGATGTATCATCCTTACGCCAACCTAATGGAAAGTTCCATGAGAAGGTAAGGGTCACAATGGGACACTTGCCTGGCAATGGCTCATGGCCTTGTAAGACAAAGGCGCCCCCTGGTGGTCTAGGGATTATATAAGATGAGGTAAACAAGGTAATAAATCATGGCCTTATGTAAGGAACGGTTGAACCAATCGGTGTGGGGCTATACATGTGATAAACACATGATTCTCCTTCTCGTCCAATCCGTAGATGTGTGATTATAGCCTAATTGTGTTATGTAATGTTGAGAAAGACTATAAAAGAAAGCTTGTAATAAACAGGATTCAGATTCAGCTTGCAACCACATTGGTCGTGTGCTTTATCCGCTCCCCACACTTAGTATCTGTTTATAAGGATTTAGAATCCGGCCAGTAAAATTTGGCCCCACGCTTAAAAAGGCTTCATTCATACACTTTATTCACCAGGGACATGAGTTCTTTAGTTTGCACACTTTACAAATTTGGACAGCCTATTTTCTTCACCACATAGCCACTATTTAACCATTTTTAAAACACGGGATTCTATGAAAAAGCTACAGAAAATAAATTAATTTCAGTTCATAAATTCCAAATCCAAATAGCCAATTTGCATGCATGAAAAGAGAGAGCTATGTTTGTTAGAATAAGTTTGTAGAGTGAAATTACAGCACCCTGAAGCTGAGGGATGTTGATAAGCATTTAAAAACACAGCAGGCTATTATCTCCATCTGAGCAGAAAGAAAAACATTACTGAATCAATACTTACAGTAAAATTGATAAGGTCATAGTGCAGATGAAGTTGCTTTTGCTTAGTAACATGTATTGCACCTGAGTCATCTCTCTTCACCTGATGGAATTAGACAAGACAAACACTCAAACTTAGTGCTTTCTGGAACCCAAAACATGCCTTGAGAAAAGAAGTTTTCTTCCACTGAGGAAGGAAGCCCAGTTCCAGGGTCTGCAAGTTTTCTCCAGTATCAGTGTTCTAGATGCGTGTGTTAACAGCATCATCACAGAGGTGGCTTTCTAAAATGGCCTTAAAATGGGGCATAAATTCCTTTTCCCACTGGAAGTCACTGATTTTTCAGGGTCTCACTTCACAAAGTGTTAGTTTATGTCCTTTGTATTTTTAAGGAATTTTGTTGAAAAGTAATTAATATATTTTAACAGGAAATATCCAAATCTGGGCTCTGGCCAAAATTTGGCCATGGCAATCCAACTTTCCTTTGTGGGCTGACTGATACAGCAACATCCTGCAGCAACTTGACTGGAAATTCTCAACTTGCCCACACATGCAGCTAAGCCATATTCATACTCCCAGCAATCGGAGTCAGCAACATGGATGAACTGCCATTGGAAGAGCTTGTCCAACTTGTGCTTTCACTCCTATTTCAGGAAATAGGCAAAACGTTCCTGAGACACTGGTGGACATTTCGGCAGCGTTTTCTGACCTATCGAAAGCACCTCTCAAAAGGAGGAGACGGACATGGCAGACTCTAACCTGCTGACAATGTTCATAACTCTTGCTATAGCTCCAGATTCCTCATATATAGACAGGTGCTTCTACAGCAGGGCCACAAGCACTGACTGGTGGGATCTCATCATTATGCGGACCTGGGAAAACCAGAACTTTCACATGGAGAAGCAGGCATTCCTGGAGGTTTGTGATCAACTTGCTAGACCTTCCAGCTTCAGGACAAACACAGAAGAGAAGCCACTTCAGTTCAGAAGTGGGTTGCAATAGTCATCAGGAAGCTGGTTACCCCAAATGCTACAGGTCTATGGCTAACCAGTTTGGTGTTGGCAAGTCAACTGTGGGGGAAGAGGTTTGTTTACGTCCACCACGTTTAGGTGCATCACAATCTTTCTGAAATAACTGCCAGTTTTGAGAGAATGGGCTTTTCAAACTGATCCCAAGTCATTAATGGGACTCATGTGCCCATAGTTTGCCCTCCTCAAGGAGCACATGAATGCATAAACTGCAAACGGTACTACTCCATCATCCTGCAGTTGCTGGATGACCACAGAGGCAGATTCACAGACAATAGCATGGATTGTACTGGTAAAAGGAACAGGAGTACTTGTGGCACCTTAGAGACCAACAAATTTAGTCCGAAGAAGTGGGCTGTAGCCCACGAAAGCTTATGCTCAAATAAATGTTAGTCTCTAAGGTACCACAAATACTCCTGTTCTTTTTGCAGATACAGACTAATACGGCTGCTACTCTGTATTGGTAAAGTGCATCATGCCAGTGTTTCCTGCAGACCAAGACATTACCTTCATGGACAAGTGGTGACACTAATCCCACCAAATGACATGGTTATAAATGGAGTCACTGTCCCCACTGTTGTTCTAGAGGACCCCATATACCCTTTTTTTGCTATGGCTTATGAAACCATACCCTGATGGCAGAGGTCCTAGCAAAAGCAGATTTAATTACACTCTTAGCAGCTGTAGAATGTTTGGCATACTGAAATGCCGTTGGCATTGTTCATAGAACCGTTTGAATGCCAATGTTACTAATGCCATTTTTCATTACCGTGGCCTGCTGTGCTGTGCACAATGTCTCTGAGGAAAAAGGTGAGCCATTTTGTCAGAAGTGGACTCATGGCACTACTGTATTATTGAACCGGTACACAGCCAGAAAGAGCACCTGTCATAACTGGAGCAAGATCCACATGTGCAATGGAAATCAGGGATGCTTTGTGTGCCCATATTATGTTTTGCATGGCCCCAACAGATGTATGAATGTTCATATTATTGATATAAGCATACACTGATTGAATACTACCCGAGGGACTGGCTGGGTCTCCCTTCACACTTTCTACCAGTGGTGATGGTTTTTATGAAGAATTTAAGCTCATGGGTATGATAAAAGCTTATAAAACATAATATATTCTATCTTTATTTTGTAAAAGGGGCATATGCTTCAACCCACCGCTTATGGATTGCTATTTATGTAGTTCAGTTTTAGCAGTGGTTCTCAAACTTTTTTTTTTTTTTTAAACTGACGACCCCTTTCACATAGCAAGCCTCTGAGTGCGACCCCCCGCTTTATAAATTAAACACACTTTTTTATATATTTAACACCATTATAAATGCTGGTGGCAAAGCGGGGTTGGGGTGGAGGTTGACAGCTCGTGACCCCCCCATGTAATAACCTCACAACCCCCTGAGGGGTCCAAACCCCCAGTTTGAGAACCCCTGAATTTTAGTTAAGGTAATAAACAGTCCTCATGACACCACACCTGTGTGTAAACAAGACACTGTTTTTACACACGCATTTAATAAAACATGACAGCCAGGCCAGCCACCAACAAAGGCAGAATTTGTTCTCTTTGACCCTGTTGATTTGTTTTGCACACACTTGCCATTGCTGCACTGGAGTGGAGGAATGAACGGGAAACATTTGCCCATTCCAGCAAGTGTTCATTCCTTGCGACAAGGACCACCCAACTACAGAACTGTGCTGCAGAACATAGTGTGGTGAGCAGGGCCAGCTCCAGGCACCAGCTTAACAGGCAGGTGCTTAGGGCGGCCAAGGGAGAGGGGCGGCACCTGCGGCAATTCGGGGGCGGCAAGTCCCGCACTCCCTCTAGGAGCAAAGGACCTGCCGCTGAACTGCCGCCGCCGATCGCAGCTTTTTTTTTTTTTTGCTTGGGGCGGCAGAAATGCTGGAGCCAGCCCTGGTGGTGAGGACTCAGGGCAAGGAGCTGGAGTGGGAGGTGCAGGTGGAACTGGAGCCTGCACTCCTACTGTCTTGAGCACAAGCTCCTCCTCAAACAGCTCTGACTGCTGCGCTCAAGCACAGCTCATGGTCCAGGAACTATGCTGCCAATCTTTCCTCATGCTTTGCAGTCTCTCTGTCCTTCAACCTGGCCTGCCTCCTTCTCCCATTGGTTCCGGAGTCGCCATTAATTATCAGCCTCCTCCTTGATGCTGTATGAGTGTACACAATGCAAGACGCCTGATTGACTGTGGATGCCCTGCAGAGGCGGAAGGGCCTGCCAAGACAAAATTAAAGAATAAATTATCTAAGCATGTCCAAAAAAATTTTACTTTCTCTGTAGCAAAAGTGGTTGTGGAATCTAAAAAATATAATTTGAGATTGTCTGAATCATTAGTTTTGTTACATTCTGTGGTTTGCTACCTATGGCTTTAGAATCTGTTCAGGCAGTCCATTTTCTGGAAGACATAGCAAAGGGATCTTTTGTTCCAGGCTACCAGGGGCAAGCCAGACGTGTCTGCTAAAAAGCTTTTCATGTGTATCATATACAAATCTATAAATGGAGGGGGCTACTGGCCTACAGAGGAGACCCTAAGAAGTATGCCCTGCTCTGAAATGTGACTACAGTAACTCCTCGCTTAACGTTGTAGTTATGTTCCTGAAAAATGCAACTTTAAGCGAAACGATGTTAAATGAATCCAATTTCCCCATAAGAATTAATGTAAATTGGGGGGGGGGGAGGAAGAGGAGGGAGGGAGTAGGTTCCAGGGAAATTTTTTTCACCAGACAAAAAAGACATACATACATACATACACACACACACACACACACACACAAAGTTTTAAACAAACAATTTAATTCTGGTACACAGCGATGATGATTGTGAAGCTTGGTTGAGGTGGTGGGGTAAGAGGATGGGATATTTCCCAGGGAATGCCTTACTGCTAAATGATGAACTAGCAATTGGCTGAGCTCTCAAGGGTTAACTCGTTGTTAATGTAGCCTCTCACTCTACAAGGCAGGACGAACGGGGGGAGAGGAGACAGCATGGCAGACCGAGACACACACCAAGTGTGAGAGAGAGAGATGCACATTGCTCCTTTAAGTACGCTGACCCCACTCTAAGTACACTGCCTTTTTAAGTAGATCAGCAAGCTGAGATGGCAGCTGCTGCCAGGAAGCTCCCTCCTGAGCCCTATCATGGTGTCTTCTCTATGGAAGATGGGGTAAGTGGGGTGCAGGAGCAGGGGGGAAGGGGTCACCCTGACATTAGCCCCCTTCTTCCCCCCCCCACCTGCACAGCAAACAGGAGGCTCCGGGGAGCAGCTCCAAGGCAGAGGGGGGAGGGACAGCTGAACTGCCGGCAATTGATAGCCTGTTGGGTGGCTGCCGCACAGGGAACTTAGGAGAACGGAGAGCTGATGGGGGACTGCTGGTCACCCTGGTTCCAAGCCCCCACCAGCTAGCTCCAACGGGCTGCTCTTCCTGCAAGCAGTGGACAAAGCAGGCGGCTGCCAAATGACGTTATAAGGGAGAACTGGGCAACTTTAAACGAGCATGTTCTCTAATTGATCAGCAACGAAACAACGTTAACCGGGATGACTTTAAGTGAGGAGTTACTGTATTCATCTGTAGTTCCTGCTCCAGGAAGAGCTAGCAATCAGCAGCAAACAGGATTTGGTGAAAATTCATGGAGGGATTAACAGGACAGTGCTCTAGTGGCCAGATGAATGCAGGGAGCTTTCAGGGAGGCTACAATACATGCAGTGAACTCAGTGCAGCTTGGGCTTACAATACTGCAGCCCGCCATGGACTACAAACACACCCTGGACAATTTGGACTCATGATACAGCATCCAAAAATTAAATACCTATCCCAGGAATATCCTGGGCTCATAATAGGGCATCCATCACCTAAATATCATCCCCTTCTGCATTTTGGATGTTTAATATGGTACCCACGGACCAACCACACACACACACACCCCACCGCTATCTGAACTGGCAGTTCAGGATGGTCTGGTGTGGCCAAGTTGTACAGTGGGGCATACTTTCAGGGAAGGCAATATAAGGCCCTTAATTTTAATGCCCCAACACAACTTTGTAACCTACGAGTATCTAGTAAAAATTTCATCATAACTGCTTGTTTAACTTTTGTTTTCACTTCCCAGTATCCATTTTGAATTCCATGTTGTGGGGGTGACTGTGGGTTAGGCTGTGGCATTGGAGTGCATTGTCTCATTAGCAGATACATGTTGCAACACCTGGCTTGTAATACTCATTTCACTGGGTCATAAGCCAGAAATCCATCCCATCCGTATACTAACAAACCTGGAGGCAGAAACTTACCAAGTTCCAGTGCCACTTCTGCTTCTGGTTCCACTGCCTGCTGCTCCCTCTGGGCATCCTTAAACATTTCCTCAGAGTATGGACTCAGGACATGGTGTAGCTGCTCCAGCAGCAAAGACTCCTCGGGGACAGGCATGTGCAAAAAAAGTCACTTCCTAAGCTTGATCTGGTGGCACCTGTGGATCAGGGATCATAAAGGTGCCATCTCCACTTAGAGTATAATGTACCACTGTGTGCTCAGTGCTTGGCACAGTTCCCAGCACCTGGCTGAATTCCTCAAAGAGGCAGGTGGACAGGGAGTTCCCAGAGATGTGGCTGTCATCCCTGACTTGGCGGTAATCAGTCTTGGGTTGCTTGATTCACACACTGCACTGATCAGCTGACTGGTGGACCACCAACGTCGCAAGCTTCTCTGCAATTTCCTGGTAAGACATGATCATTTCTGGTACTCTTGATGATGTTGAATGTCTTGTTTTCCTTGCACCAGAGATTAACCAGAATCTGGCTGCATTCCCATGGTCAGCTAGCAGCACACTTGGTGTAGGGCTTAATGCTGAACTACTTCTTGTTGCTGGCCATAACTAACACAGGAACTGTTTAACTGTGTTCCAAGTTCAGCAGTCAGCACTGGAACAAATGGGTGCTTCCAGTTTCTGGGTATCCAGTGGGTACTTAAGCGATAGAGGACCAATAAACACTGGCCCAGGACATTGTGGGACAGCACTGGCAGACTCTCCAGACATGAGTCTGGGAACCCAGGTTAGAGCTGTGTCCACACAGCGAAAAGACAGGACTTGGCCCAAGTCCCACCACCCTGGCAGGCCTACAACTCAGATCCTGAGGGCTTAGTGACTCAAGTCAGAAATATTTGTGTGTGGATGGTAGGAGGGTTTGGGCTCAAACATGAGTCTGAGCCCAGGTTTACAATGCAATGTAGTCATACCTTAAGAACCAATCCAGCTCCTATTAACTTCATTGAGATTGGACGGAGCCCCCAAATCAGGACAACTCAATAAAAATTGTTAAGCTGAGGAAGAAGGTTCAGCATGTATCCAGAGAGAACATTTTTCAACTTAGTTATATTAAACTACAAAACCACTTGATCTAGCCATTTTAGACTTGGGGTACATTTTTTTTTTTTTTTTTTGGCTTGTATAAAAGATATCACGTCTTTCCCAATTCAAAAGCGAACTGCAGTGATTCACATCATAGGATTACATCACCATTGATCCAGAATAAATTAACTTCTGTTCCAGTGTTCTAGAGGTGATTATCTAGAAAACAATAGGTAACAAGCAATTCAGACTTACCAAAAGAAAATGAACAACATCTCCTCGACAGAAGGCAAGCATGGGGTTCACAGAGTTCTGTACAGCAACAAAATACCATGCCAGCAGTGGCACACTAGAGGGATCCATCTAAAGAGAGAGAGAGAACAGACCCTTTATAATACTGTGTACACAGAATTAGGCTGACACTCACTCTGACTTCACTGTGATATAAGAACATGTCAGATGGAACTCTTGATACCAGTGGTCTCGGACTGCTACAGCACTTGAGAATCCATTTAGAAAGTCAGGAAAAGCAAACTTTTGGCACCAAAAAGATCGTAATTTCTCTGCAACGTTGTCCAGAGAAGCACGGCATTCTCATGCACTGTGTACAAATTACTAGTAAAGTTTATGTTAAAAAAGGAGTTAAGATGGAGAGTACATAATAATTTACGGTAAAGTATGTTACAGGCAAGTTGTATTTATTCCAAAACTAAGAATTACATGATTGAGATCCAAACTTGTTAAGGTATGAAAATGCACAGTTAGGGCACTATCTCTGCCCTATAGTGACACCTTTTAATAACCATAGGATTATGATTAAGATATTTCGTTGCCTGTGGTCTCATTAAACTGATTTTAAAGAAGACTTATTAGAGTTCTTCCCCCTTATGGTGTCAACTACAGGTCATAATCAGCTTTATGTCCCATGCCATGGGAGCCACTACCTCAGGGAGGCATGACCGAGGAATTCCTATACCTCCGCTATCCTTGCTTGCAGGAGCCACCCATAGAAGTTATTGCATCTGAGGCAGAATTTAGGGCAGCCCTCAGAAACGCTGCCTCCCCTCTTGGTCCCTGTCCTGGTATGAATCAGGTCCATAGTCTCCTCTGCCATAACTCCCTCATACGGAGTTTATGGCACAAAGATTTAAGAGTGAACTTCACCATAAGAGTGGTCTGTAACTTTAATCCAAAAAGAAGCTATTTGTTCTTACTCACACGACCATACGGAAAAGTCATCCACACCTTCAAAGATGGTTTCAAGCCAATGACTAGGATCTTTAGCCCCAAAAAAAAAAAAAAAAAAAAGTTACAAAAATAATTTTTAAGTCTGTATTTTAGAATATTTTTCAATATCTTTCATTTTAATTTAGCACAGATAGATTATGTGAGAGGCAGAATACCTTAGTTAGGGAAGCCATTGCCAGTAGTGAGTACTGGGTGATAGGATGATCTCTCAATTCAGTCTTTGCATGCAAGGGCTCGATACAGCAAACTTCTCCCTTGGAACCACTGAACAGACATCGAGACTCACATGTTCTCACACCCATAACTCTCCTGAAAAGAAAGCAATCAACTTGATGAATACCTGGCCAGCGCCAAGAATGGGCCTGCTCAACACATTAAAAAAAAAAAAAATCCAAAACATGATCTCAGGGCTGGTCTACACTACGAGATTAGGTCGAATTTAGAGGATTACAGTAACTCCTCACTTAAAGTTGTCCCGGTTAACGTTGTTACGTTGCTGATCAATTAGGGAACATGCTCGTTTAAAGTTGTGTAATGCTCCCTTCTAACGTCGTTTGGCAGCCGCTTGCTTTGTCTACTGCTTGCAGGAAGAGCAGCCCCTTGCAGCTAGCTGGTGGGGGCTTCGAACCAGGGTGGACCAGCAGCCCTCTATCAGCTCCCCGCTCCCCTAAGTTCCCTGTGCAGCAGCTGCCTGCAGTTCAGCTGTGTCCCTCCCCCCACTGCCATGTGCTGCTCCTGCCCTCTGCCTTGGAGCTGCTCCCCGAGACTCCTTCTTGCTGTGCCGGGGGGGGGGGAGGGAAGGAAGAGGGGGGCTCATGTCAGGGTGTCCCCCACCCCCCTGCTCCTGCACTCCGCTTACCCCATCTTCCATAGACCAGGGCTCAGGACGGAGGGAGCTTGCAGCAACTGCATCTCAGCAAGCTGATCTAATTAAAAAGGCAGTGTACTTAAGGGAAATGCGCCTATCTCCCTTCATTCCTGCTGCCTTGCAGAGAGAGAGAGAGAGAGAGAGAGTTAACCTTTGAGGGCTCAGTCAATTGCTAGTTCATCATTTAGCAGTAAGGGAAATATCCCACCCTCTGAGTCCTTCACCTCAACCAAGCTTCACAATCATCATCATTGTGTACCAGTATTAAATTGTTTGTTTAAAACGTATACTGTGTGTCTGTCTGTGTGTGTCTGTCTGTGTGTCTGTCTGTCTGTGTGTGTAAAAAAAATATAGTCTTTTGTCTGGTGAAAAAAATTTCCCTGGAACCTAACCCCCTCATTTACATTAATTCTTATGGGGAAATTGGATTCACTTAACATCGTTTCGCTTAAAGTTGCATTTTTCAGGAACATAACTACAACATTAAGTGAGGAGTTACTGTACTTAAAAAAAATAATAATCTTTTCACAATGCCTGGTAAGAGTTAGGGATACTGCTTTTATGGCATTTCAAGGAGTATCAGAGATAGAGACAGGATGAGTCATTGGGATCCTGCTTTAAAAAGCATTTTAGCAGCTCCTGGCCCGTTACCAGAAGCTACCACTACCTCACCCATGGTAATTTGTCAGGCCCTAATCCCATACTCCTGTCTCTGCCCACAGCTGCTGTGAGGTCCACTACTACACAAGTTATACACAAAGGAAGAAAGCTGCTGAGAACTACCTTGCAGCTACTGCCAATGAGAGTTAGGAGAACTAGGCCTGAAGATTAAGAGCTGCACTGCAGGCTGGGGCGGGGGGAGGAGAAGATGGGGGGCAAACTTTGGGGCAGCTGCCAGGAGTTCCTAAGGGAATGGTATTTCCCCCACAGCTGCAGTCACCTGTCTGCTCTAGTTCCCATATCACACCTGTCCAAATATATCCAATTTTAATCAAAATGCGTATTTTACTGCAATTGTAAGGCCAAATCTTAGATCCAACATATTGTCCAAGGTAGGGAGGAATCTGTTGAACTATGCTACATTAGGATAAATACTCTCTCCCTGTGATCCCCAAATGTGGTCTTCCACACACACCTGTGCTGTGGGTGGGGAGGTCTTTAGTCAAAGAGATACATTGCTTAATGATCTAGGCAGAAAAGATTCCATGCTACTTCTGTTGTAGGATTTGAAATAAAAGTTTGTGCAATTTTATTTTATTAAAGGTCCTGATCCAGGAGTTTCTCACCATTTGGAAGATAGTCTATTGGTTCAAAGGCTTTTTTAGCTCTAAAAACTTTGATTCATAATTAAGACTCCTCTCTACTGTCACTTTCCCACAAAACATAGTTATTCTCTTACTTAAATGACAGCTCAAACACGGAGCCTCCACTGTCGTTGCAAATTGCAAGCGTTGGGTCATCTGTAAACTGAACAGAGAATTAGATTATACCTTTTCTGTCTCAATTTTAAAGCTAAAAAAGTCAAAGTTTCAGCAGAAAAACCCCACTTCTGGGATTTTTTTTAAAATGGTGACAAGTATGTTAATACTGTTCATGAAACAGAAAAGCCACATTTAGCACATTATTCTTTATGTTTACAAATTCATACTGGAAAAAACCCTACAGTGAGATCTTTAACTTGCAGTCTGAACACAAAGTTATTTGCCATAAAATACAAACATTTAGCAGTTATAGTATTAGAAATAATGGCATTTGCAGTATTTTTATTCAAAGTATAAAAATACCATGGTAAAATCAAATACTGTGCTACTGCAAGTGTCACTACTGTAATGGCACTAATTGTGAAGGTAACTCTTCCTAAATAGATTTAGTAATCAAAAGGAGACCACAAGCTCTAAGCTCTCTTCCTTATCACACAGTTTTATAATGTTAAGTAGGTGAACGTAGATTGAATTATTTATTATTAATTCATATATTGCTTTAAACAGGTCCAAAGCGAGTAACCAAGATTTCCCCCTACACACACATTTACTGCAGAAATCAAACTTTCTACATTACCACAAACAAAGATTTATTTAAAGAGAAAAGATGACAATTTCATAGGACCAACTCAGAGTGTAAGATGAACACCTGAGGGGAAAAAGAAGGAAATATGGTTAAAGTGTTCTAGCTTTATCCTATGCTCTGTTATCACAAGGAAGTCTTGAGGAGGAGAACTGTATTTTTCTAAAATGCCTGCATCACTCTGCTTATAAGTGCATAATATTCTCCAGACATATCACTGTGATGGAAGAGTCCAACTGAGCTTTGCCTTCACAAAACACCCTTCAGGACATATGTCTTTTCTTTTGGAACTACCTATATACAATTTAATTGTCTTTAAAGTTTAAAGTTGTAAGTGGAATAATATAAAAAGATCCAAAGCTGAGAGTTAGCATGGCATGGCTGACATTACTTTTGGCATGAAATGGGGAAAATAAATCCCATCAGTAAATACACAAAGTGAATCTGTGTGCCACCGTTTTATTATAAACAATAGAGGGGTCCCAAGTTAATTTAATCCCCATGGTGGCAAAGTTGTAAATTTAAATATTTTAAGTCAGAGAAGATACGAAGTTGGCCATTTCCCAGGACTGTAAATCACAAGAGAACCTGGTTTCAAGTATCATGTCTTAGTCAAAATTGTAATATTTCTTTTCGCGCTAGATAGAAGACTGTTCTCAAGTGTGAGCAAAGAGAGTGCCAGATGGCGTAGTGGATCTTCCAACACCACTGTGTCTCAGTGTCATTGGAGAGTCAGAAAGTTAAGGAAGTCTCCTCCCTTTATCAGGTGCCTTGCTATTCTTCCCCACTTGATTTTCTTAAATAAGTGAAGGGGAGGGTGAAATCTGCTTTAGCCTGGGAGAGAAGAGACTGTATCTTCCCTTTGGTTTGATCCTGTACTTTTTCAAGCTGATTTTCCAATTGCTCCTACCACTCTTTTCAGGTACTGTTTCAAGCGTGTCTGGAGAAACCCTTCTTCCCAGTTTTCAAGCTTGTCTCCTTTGTGGGCCTTCCCCAGAGAGGAACCAGCCGTGGAGGACAAGGGATATAGCTTGCAATATCTGCTGAAAAACGTGTTCTGGTTTTATCTTGTGCCATAGATTGGAGAATTGGGCCCCAAATCTTTTCAGGCAAGCTGCACGAAGGCTAAAGGAGTGGAAACGGAGAAGGATGGGGGCTTTGTGCAACAACTTGCATTGCAAATACTGCTGTGTACATTAAACAATCTTCATCTCTGAATGGATGAGATGGCAGCTCCCCCACTCTGCTTAATCCATAATAGTTTTATTGCAGATTCTTTCACAAATTGAGCAAAACTGGCAACTTTTCACCTCACCTTGCCTTGCCTCCCTCTCCCCTCGCTCAGGATTATCAGGAGGGAGAAATCCCTCAGGAAGGAAATGTGGACTTTTCTTGGGGACAGAGCCATGACAAAGAATGGAAGGAGAGGATTCCCCAAGATGGCATTCCTCTTTGCTTTGTGATAAGGAAAGTCAGGCAGAAGGAGAGGTTGTTTACCTTGTACAGTAAATGGAATTCTTAGAGATGTCTGTCCCTATGAATGCATTTCAGGTGCATATTCACCTCCATGCACCTTCAACTGAAGATTTTCAGCAGCAGTCCCTGTTCAGTTCACACATGCACCCCTAGCTATCTTCATGCCCCATACCAAAGGCATAAAGGGCTACAAGGGATGGACCACCTTGGTTCCTTCTGTACTGCAACGTCCCACGGAGACAAGACTCCAAAGCAGAGGGGAAGAACAGCAGGTGATGCACTGATAGGGAGACATCTCGAAAAACTCATTACTGTACAATGTAAGGGACAGCCTAGTATATCCCTATGGGTGCTCCACTGCAAGTGACTCCCAAACAGTACTCCTCAGCAGAGTGCTTTGGAGTGGGATCTGAAAATTACTGAAGAACAGCAAACCCAAATGCAGCATCTGCTTGTGATGCATGTATCAAACCACAGTGTCCCTTTAGACTGTGTGAATGGAGGCCAATGTGGTAACTTTGCACATTTCTGCAGTAAGAATGTGCTTTAATAGGGCAATAGGTGAACTGAAATCCAGTAGAAAGTGCAATAACCTCAGGAGGGCACAGAATGTTTACAGCAGGAGAGAATACAACCAGAAACCCATTTGGACACAGGTGTACCTTTAATTCTGTCCATAGCTCTGGCAACAGCAACAAGTAATCGAAGAGAAGCCCAAAAGGGTTTAGTCCTGTCCAAATAGGAGGCCCTGGCCCTCCTAACATCTCAGCCATGAAGGATATTACAGTACAGACCCCTTTACGCACAGATGTCGGGAGTCAGGCCGTCACAACCACGTGTTAATGGACCGCGGGTTAAGAGGGCCATGCTGAAATATCTTAAGATATCTATATCTATCTATCTATCTATATATATATATACACACACACACACACACACACACACACACACACACACACGCATAATTATCTAGGATTACATACACATTCACAGCATCCCAAATACTGCAGGCCTATCTGTTAACGGCGCTTTGCAAAAATATAAATTCAAATGTGTAATCTAATAAAAACATTACTACTACTACACAGGGGTGAAAGTAACTCAGGACACTTCCGATACAGGGTGGGGGCGGCTCTGGCCCCTGGAAGGGGCGGGGCTAGGGGTCAGCATCCCCCAGCCAGCCCTTCCAGGCCACGTGGTCCGCACCACCTGGGGTTCCTATGGCGATTTAAAGGGCCTGGAGCTTCGGACGCCGCTGCTACGGTAGTGGCGTCCAGAGCCCCGGGCCCTTTTAAATCGCCAGCCCCGGGGCAGCTGCTCTCTTTGCCGCCCCCCCGTCGGCGGCCCATCGCTGCCGCAGCAAAGGACCATCCTTAAAGCACTGTCGTAGCAGTGCTTTAATGTCCCTGCCCTTTTTGCCGCCCCCGTCGGCAGCCTTGCTGGTAGGGTCCCTACCAGCAGGGCTGCCGACGGGAGGGGTGGGGGAAGCAACGTTAAAGCGCTGCTGCAGATCCTTGCTGCCCCTTCCCCCCACCGTCGGCGGTAAAGACAACACGTTTCCGCTCCGCACTTCCTGTTGATTTCTATGTCAGTGAGTTAGTGAGCAAACCTGTAGCACTACATAGCGAGTTCCTGTACCGCGTGTTAACGAGTCTCGCGTGTTAAATAGGTAGCACTGGGAGGCATGGCACTACAGCCCATTAAGCGGATTTGCGCATAAACGGGTCTGTACTGTATCCTCTTTACACTGATGAGGGTAAGGGTGGAAAAACTGGAATATGAATAGTTTGATTAATATGAAAATCCAAGGTGACCTTTGGTAAGAACCAGGGCTGTGGTCAGAAGGATACTTTGTCTTTAAAGAATACAGGAGAGTGTATGTATGGGGGCTAGAGGGTCCAGTCATTAAAGCCCATAACTTGATAACTCTCAGAGCATAGGCGATGTCCATGAAGATGGCTTTCTTGATGGCTAGGTGCAAAATCAAAGATGTAGCCACAAGTTCAAAGGGAGGCTTCATCGGAGAGTAAGGACTAAGCTCAAATCCTAGGTTCAGGAGAGTTTCCTGATGCATGGCAACAGGCTAAATAACCCTAATGAACCTCAAAGTGGCAGGATGAGCAAGGACGGTTATGTTGCAGCTATGTTGGTTATAACTGTTTTAGCAAGTTTTTTTAAATGAGTGTTTTTAAGAATTGTGAATGTTTTCTTATAATCCTATCTACATTCATCTTATGGGAAGGATACATTTAAATAATGTGTAATGTAAAGAACCAATGTGGAAGTGGCAGAAATCTGAATACGGTAATGAGAAGGTTTAATGTTAATTAGTATTCTAATAGATTATTAAAAGGAGGAGTTTTGTTAAAATTGGAAAGAGCTCCAATTAATATCAAAAGGGTACCATTAGGTTTCAGGACTATAAGACTGTACCTCTTTCTGTTGTCAGTGGACTGATCAACTACTGTTTGTTTAACTAATTTTTCTTTTGAATAAAGTTTGGGTTTATCACTCATAAGAACAGCCATAGTGGGTCAGACCAATGGTCCATCTAGCCCAGTATCCTGTCTTCTGACAGTGACCAATGCCAGGTGCTCAACGTGTCACCTAGTGGTCCTCTACTAAATAAGTTTTCTGTAACCAATCTAGAGACTTGAACCTGAAAACTAAGTTGGGTTTTATTGCACCCTTATCCTTAATTTAGTATTAATTGGGAACATTTCAACGTAACAATTACAAAAGGCTATAGTGATGACCATGGTAGAACATCTGAGGTGCATATTTGAGTGATTAGAACCCCAAATTTATTTAAATCTGTTTGGTGAGAACTAATAAAGCAGGAAGTTCTTAGACAGCAAATTGACTTTTCACTTCGATCAAACAGCTTGTCAAAAATTCAGTATACAGCCGCAATCATTTGGCACAGA